TCATCACTCATCCAACCGCTGTCACCGCCGCCTCTCTCACGACCCGTATGCAGGACCTTCAGCGGATTTGTGCTCCGCACGTCCCAGATGGCGATAACGCCTTCTTGACAAGCAACAGCGAACTTGAGTCCATCGGCGCTCCATGCGGTGCTAAAGGAAGCTACCAGAGAGAAGGGGTGAACGGAGACGGGAGGAGGGACCTGTAGTGTTGTAATGCGATTGAAGGCAAGCTGGGCGCTGCCTGAAAGGGAATGGAGGTAGATCCGGGGAGAGTCTCCGACTGAGAGTAAGGTCCGACCATCAGGCGATATTGAAGCTGTGCATATCCCGCAGAGTTAAGTTAAATCCTCACATGGGAAACGATAACGTACAGTGATTCACAGGCTCTTCGAGTCTAAGGGTCCCACAGCACCTGAGGTCTTGTGGTTTGCGGAGGGGAACATCGAAGAGGCGAACTGTCCAATCATTATTACTCACTACGAGTCGAGGTTCCTGAGAACCACCGAATGCGCGTGCAAGGAGAACAGAATTGTTGATGCTTCCACTGAGCTTGCGCGAGAACTGCCAGAGCGCACGGGTGCGCGATGGATTGTGAAGTGAGAGGTGGATCTCAGTGTCCTGACCACCTGCTGCGAGGAGAGTTTGAGGGGAGTCAGAAAGAGTTAATGAGGAGAGGGTGTTTGGGGTAAAAGTGAGATCGACGATTGGCCTTGGTGCCTAGGAGCCACACATGAGAATCGTCCTGCGAACCTTGCATCACATAAAGGCAAGTATGAACGTAAACGCACCACTTCAGGAGCATGAAGGTCATGCTCAATAACCGAAGTCCCTTGAATATAATTGACGATGCCTGCCTCACGCGGACATATGATTAAATCTCGAAGCTGCCTGCACGAGTGGGGTTAGTGGCAAATCGGAACAAAGATGTGAAAATGAAGCATACACATGACCGATTGTAACCTCTGCTGGTGCGATGACGCTTGGAGTCGTCGATGCCAGCAACGACGAGGTGCGAGCCATGACTAGTAGGACAATAGTGGCAAGCTCCTGCGTGTGACGTTGAGAACATCCAGCTACAAACGCGGCCCGCTCCTTTAACATGCCACGTGCTACACGTGATCCACTGCACACTGGCAGGCCCCAAAGGCTAAGGCCATACTTCCAAGTACTTCCACCTCCTCAACTTCAATCAACTCCTAGTCATCGTCGATAGTGGGTGTGATTGGTGGAATAATTACGCGTCACCCAAGAGGAAGATTATACTGGTTTGCCCCATATGTATCTTTTGTTCCCATAAGAGCAGGAGGCACGTACCGGTAGTCCTCCTATAGGGCAGAGTCTTTACCGAACGCTCCCAGTGACTGAGTGGCTCAGTGCTTGGAGTCTCCGTTAATGCGAATGAGCTAATTTTGTGGATTCTTCACGGAGGGCTATTATTCAGTGGGTCCTCCTCCAGCTGTGTTGATCGAGAACTAGACTTTGCGTCGTCTGTGACACACCGCGGTGTAGCATCGCTCGGGAGAGCCTTGAGATTGAAGGTCATGGGAGGGTGAGACGGAATTCTAGTGTGAAAGAAATTTTGAGGTAATTATTACAACACACCCTCGATATACTGATGCTTCGGAAACGAACAAGCTTAAAGTTGCCTTTTTAACACGAGCACCTTCCAACAACCTTCCAAGTTCCTCATAATACTTATGATTCCTTTGATTTGCAACAGAAGACAGTGCGAGGTACCGCAGGTATTTGTTCTCTCCAGTCACGGCTTTGGTTGTCGGCCTTGGTATAGTTTTTTTCAGTCTGGTTCGAACTCTTCCGCTGACGCATGGTTTCTTAGCTTACGGTGACCACTGACCTAAATTGTCTCTTCATGCTATTAGATAAGCTCTTCAGTCACAGAGATCAGTGCTCCAGAACCTGATCTATCATTAGTTCTCCAGGTGCAGAATCGACTACAGATACATGTAATACCACATTTTCTCATAATACTGCAGATTAATCGTCAGCACGTTTGTCGATACCCATTCATTTGAATGACGTACAGAGCCTAGTAAAATTCCGTCCTCACCTATCACCGCATGCGTGAGTGGCCGTTTGTGGGGAGGTAGATATGCTGTTGCTCTTCTGACCGGAAGGCTTGTAACGACTTCATTCTTTACCGTCCCGGGCAGAGTATCAAAGCTCTCCTCTTCCAAAACATCCCACACGTATCCCTCAGATGCCGGTACATCTCGATTTGCGGCATACTGGTTGAAATCCAATATCTCAATCTCCTCCCCAAGGGCTTCAGTTCTTCGTATTTCAAGGTATTTCATGCCATAGACTGTGCGCTGCCACGTCTGGTGGGAGTAAAGTCCGCGCATACGGGTTCCGGACGGTCCCCACTCATTCCAGGGCACTTTGAATTGGTTCTGAGAACCAGCGCGCTTGAGCTGCTTCAGAATCGTCGACAAAGGGACAAACAAGAGCGTGTAGTCATCCTTGTCGTCATCTTCGTCTTCATCTTGGCTTTGCGAGGAGATGAATCTAAGTGTAAACATAAACAACCTGTCCGCCTGCGTGACACAAAAAGGCACAGTGTTTCTGCGGGGTGCACTCCAGTTCAGCTCTGGATCCATGCGAATAAAGAATTCACTGATTCCATGGAACGACGGAGGAATCTGAAGTCCAAGTAGGAAGTCCATTCCCTTGAGCTGCGTATAGCCAAAAGCTTTCTTGAGCTTTGTGCAACTGATGACTTGGATCTGCGCGGTCCGCTGCGTCACGAGGTTCGTGAGTAGCAATAGATCTTCTGTGATGAACGCGAAGTCCAGAATGATTGGATATTTGGGTTTTCCCGGCGAACGGACGAACTGGATCATCGGAGTCAGTATCGAGGAATCATTTGACTAGAAAAACACTGACTAGTTCGCGGGTCCCCGTTGTCCAGTCCCAGATCAAAAGATCAACCCTTCTGGAACTAATGTCCTGCAACAGGACGCCGACACGATGTCCAAATATACGCGTGGATACGGAATACCTGTCTGTTTGACCTAATGGATCATGTACCAACTGTTGACCGCAAGATAGAGGATGGCTATGGCCAGTTGCTAGGTCAAGCGTATGAACAATGCATCGTGCGGGACTGTAATACGCATCAGCGTCGGCACTAAAAATGACAAGGTGCAAGCCTACACTAGCTCCACTAGGACAAGTAGCCCCTGCGAAGGATCATGAACCCAATCCTGTGCTGCAGAGGTCAGACACGTAATATCAAGGTCCCAACGTTGCTCTGGGATGCCCCGAATTTTTGATGGCATCTGAACACAAGAGAACGCAAGGGCATCTTCGCGAAAGACCGCCTGGAAGAGCACGCCCCCGCTGAACCCCCATCTGTATCCCTCAGTGCTGCGTCCAGACAAGAAAGGGTGACAGGCGTAGAAAGTAGAGAATGAAAGCTTCTTCCATCCTGCTTGGTACTTTTGTAGTAAGGCCAGACGGTCCACTGACAGACTTGAATTACTACTGCAATCTTGTAATCCCTCAGCGAATAGCTCGATTTTGTATACGAAACGCGCACTAGCGCTGATCAACTCGTTAAACAACCTGCAGACCTGCAGGGACGTAAGCGATTAGGAGTGAAGCTTGAAGATTAAAGAGGTAAATACATTCCTGTTTGCAACTGAGCAGAGATGGGGTATCGAGGTGATCAAAGACGATCAACATCAACCAATTTGGCAAGGGGCAATCTGGAGCGTTAGACAGTTCAGAATTCATCTCCTGTTATTCAATTGGTGAGTTGCACGGCTGGAAGGTATACTTGGCAGGATTGGCTTACAGGACATTCAGTTGGGGTTGAGAGGGGATCCGAAAATCATGGGCAGGGACGAAGGATTTCATAGACTCGGGGGTCGGACAAGAGTCGGATATGAATATACTTTCCTGCACATTGCGTGAGGTGATGACTATAACTCGTGACAGGAGAAGCTTGGAGGTGTCGTAATATTAATAAGGCTTGAAGGCAACTCTCTACACAATCACACTCGTCTAGATCACTTCATACGTACCCTGGCAACCTTACGTGCTCATCAGGTTATCTGCCTCGCAACCTCCAAGAACAAAGGGCCAAAGCTTCCCTTTCAAGTCGTACATGTCCAAGTCACTGGCATGCCGCGGCGGCATCCTTGGCAGCGAGGCCTTTTAATCGTTTATTATATAGAGTTTGTCACTCGCTCTATAGTTAGGTTTCAATCACATCATATTCCTGTTTCGCGACTCGACCACTCCAGTTCCAAGTTTCCCCTGTCGATAAACACTCTGGTAGCTCGTGTTCGTTGCACGGGGTTTCGCAAGCCTGAGGTCAATACGTCCGGTTTCTCTAGGGCCTTAATTATAATAAATTGTCGATGATCAATGTAAGCACACGAAAGCAACCTAGCCATGCTAATGATCGCAGACTTAAAACAATACTGAGGCCTGAGGCTGCACAGAGATTGGTGGTCTGTCTATTCCGGACCACTGGTGTGGAACAAAGTCGACTGCTGAAGTAGTTCGTACTCTTGTTCAATCACCTAATGATATGATTATAAGAAGCATATACCGAGGAGCTAAACGATACATAGACAATAGTCCATGCTAAAGAAGTGAAAAAAAAAACACAATCCAGAGCACAATATTATATGCTTAGGAACTCGCTCCCGGGACGTCTTGGATGTAACCTTCCTGCTCCTCGTTCGAGATATCTTCGAGCGTTCTCTGCTTTGTCTCAGGGAGGAGCAGTGTAGAGAGGACACCGGTCAACATAAACGCAGCAAATATTTCCATACTACAAAATCAAAGTTAGTTTCCGAACGAGAGAAAATTCGAGCCGCTCACATGTGTTGCACGAATCTGTTCGGGCCACCAATGTTAACTAGCGTAGCAAAGCCGACTTGGGAAATGATAGCTCCAAGCTTGCCCGTGGCGGCAGAGATACCGTGGGCTGTTGAACGGTAACGAGTGGGGAAAGCCTCTCCCGGGATGACGAAAGTGGTAGTGTTAGGACCGAAGTTTTGGAAAAAGTTGGCGAGGCAGTATAGGAAGACAAAAGCCTTCGTGCCCGCGACGGTGGCATTCATGGCATCATAAGCGAAACCTGTCGATTGTCAGTCCGTGTATATATGATGGCTCTTGGCGGTTGGAATATACGGACCCATGATGGCGAAAATGATGGTGAGCATGATGAAGCCCATCAATTGGAGGGGCTTGCGACCCCAGGAGTCGATGACAAGGAAAGATGCCCAATATCCTGGAATCAAGCCCGCCACGGAGAGGATGAGGTTACCAACACAAATGTTGTACAAGTTCTCGTAAACGTAGAGTGACGAAGTTTTGTTGATGGTGGGGCTACCAAAGTTGATTGCCGACAAAATGATCGAGCTGTTGAGACCAAGGCCATAGAAAGCGATCTGAACACGAAACTTAACTTGTAACCACAAAAAGAGCTAAATGAGGACTTACATCGAGAGCGAACCAGGAGTAGGAGGTGCCGATCAGGACTTTCATGTTCTTCCATTGGCCGAAGTATGCAGCAAAGTCTGCGGGAGTTGCCTTCGGGGCCGTAACGCGTTGCACCGGGGCATTTTCGTGATCGAAGTGCCTCCCGGATGTCAATACGTTTTCAATATCTGCAGTGGCTTGTGCGACATTGCGTTCGACATCCATGGTGAAACGAGGGGTCTCTGGGATAGTGAGACGGAAGTAGAGTGCGATAACACCAGGGACGCATCCCAGACCTATCATGAGACGCCAGATATAATCGACAGGAACAACGCAAGGGAACGGGGCGTTGAGAATAGAATTCTTGTATGCCTGGACGACGATGATACCGACCAGGGAAGAAGCTGCGCTCGGGATGCATTAACAAAATCCTTTTGAAAGAAAATTATCAACCAACCAAAATAACCCCATCCTTGCGCAGCGAATACGGCAGTCATGAGACGACCGCGTGAACGTGTAGCGGCGAATTCTGAGGAAATGATGGCACTTAAAGGGTAATCACCTCCTATGCCAACACCCATCTATGGATAGGAAGTTGAGGCACAGACTTTTCAAAAGCAGATTTTTGCGCTTACAACGAAACGCCAGACGATAATCACGCCAATAGCGCTTACTGCTGGGGCTTGGCCTGCGAGAGCCTGACCGAAACACGCAACAATCATCAACATGAGCTCGACACCATCTATCACACATTGGTTAATGAAGGTGGCTGGCTTAGACATATAATTTCACTCACACATCCTCTTACGGCCCAAAACATCTGCGAGCCATCCGAAAAGGAGTTGACCAACCAAGTTACCAACAGGGGTTGCTACCTTGACACCCAAAGATTGCTGGGTATTGAGCTGGTTATCTGTCTCGCATTTCATACAACACCCTCAGAACATAGCAGCGGTATGCTCACTTGCGTGACCGTAGACATAGCCTAACATTGTGGCGGCGATGTTGATGGCAAAAATGTCGTAGCTGGTGGCAGGTGAGCGGAAGAGTGCTGTTACACGATATAGAAACTTACGCATCGGTAAAGAAACCTACACCGGCGACTAGGCAAACCTTGACATGGAACCACCTATGTAGGGACAAATGGATTTCTGCAGAACTTGAGTTAAGATTCTGTGAAACTTACGAGAAGGGTGCTTCATCGATTTCTGCCAGAGCAGCGCGACGGCGCTTGTCAAGCACGGCTACGGTAGTCGGCCTCTTCTCGTGGTACGATTCCTGACTGGATTGGTGGTCAGGGTTTGTAGCCATTGCGAATAAAGGTCCCTGAGATTGGGGGAAAACCTGCAGCTGTTACCCGCCCACCATTATCATTTATACGTCGGGATGATGCCCACATTCTCAGGCCAAAGAAGAGTGATCGTACCCGCCCCACATTGGTGTAACGTTTGTATGATAGCCCCGTTCTTAGGCGGGCACGTTCGTACGCCTGTAGCCAATAACTGCCCTCAGGATTCAGGTACACTGCTATGGCCGTGACCTAATGTCAGCATTTTTTTAGACCGTGCGAGAACCTCTGGTCCCCTGGGTAAGCATTAAGTTTACCTGGTCTGAATGCGGTATGTATTCGGAGGTCCGTAGAACGTTTGTACAAAGCCTGTCAGATGAGACTCGGATCAGCAAATAACTGCTGCATTTATAGTAGAACGTAGGTCGGACAGCACTCGGAGGTGGGAGATCTACAGCTTTGAAGTTTATAATGATCTTGTTACCTTGACCAAGGTCACCGGGAGAGGCGTAAGAAGAAGAAACGAATATCTTCATTCATCCAACATTCATCCAATAGCGGTCCGTCTAGTAGGGGAGACTAGCATAATTGCGGCGCGAGACTCCGACAAAACCGCGATGATGTGTGTTTGACGTGTGCACGACCGTTCTCAACAAGGTTCCCGGCGCACGAAGCTGACAGTACATGCAGTGGAAGGGACAAATATATCTCGAAGATCTGGAACGTAGGACTCCTTGATGGCAGTCCTCAAGAGGACAAACACAGGACAACAATTTTCTTGCTCAAGACCTGGACAAGCCGAAGTAGGCCGAAGCCACAGAGCTTTCGGAAGCATCGGAATTACGATATTATTACACTCTTGCCTACGTTGTCGACAGCGTCAAGGCCCATTTATTCGTCCATGTGGATAGGAGCGCCTCTCAGGTACTGCGTCATTCGTCTGTCGTTCGGCAACCCTTCGAGCGTTCTCTAATGCCTGCTACCTCCCCGCGGCTTATCTCACGTCCCATTCATGAATTGAATGGGAGGTCTGTGAAGAGCCTATATGCGCGCCCTCCTTTTTTCAAGCCGAAGCCTTCAATCTCAACATTCACATCCTCTTCCATTCTTCATGCGAATGACGCGCCTCCAGGCCACTAGGCAGGCTAATGTTCCGAAGTCGGTTGATTCCGATAATGTATCCGTGAAAGACCAGAGAAGAAAGGACTGGATCATTGTCAAAAGACTCATGAGTCACTGTCTGGCCGAAAAATGACTGGGGCACACGTGGTCGTGTTGTACTTGGATTTGGACTTTTGATTGCTGGCAAGGTTCGGTGTACCCTACAGGAACACCAGGGTGTGACTGAATCTAGGACGTGTCTTTCATCAGGTGTTAAACGTTCAGGTGCCACAGCTATTCAAGTCCGTGATTGATGCGTTAAACCTAGACGCAATGGCCGACTCTACGGTATGGGTCGTTGCAGGTTCTCTCATCCTCGGATGTGAGTCCAAAGCTATGTGAGACCATTACTTCTTATAAATCTTTCAGACGGCGCTGCTCGTACGGGAGCTACGTTATTTGGAGAACTACTGAACGTCGTGTTTGCAAACATCGGTCAACAAGCGGTCCGCAAAGTTGCTCGAGAGACTTTTGAACATCTCTTGAACTTGGACCTCAAGTTCCACCTCGCACGACAAACTGGTGGGCTTACGCGTGCAATTGACCGTGGTACCAAGTACGTTACACACTTCAACAGGATAGCATAACTTTGACAATGTCGTGTCTCAGGGGTATCACATTCATGCTTCAGGCTATCATTTTCCGCATTGTTCCGACTGCCCTGGAGATATCTATGGTTTGCGGAATACTCGTGAGCAAAGGGCAGATTCAGCTTGCTTCGATACTCACCACTGAAATAGACTTGGAAATTTGGTTGGGACTTTGCCGCAATCACCGTCACTGCTTTAGCTGCATATACTTGGTTCACCGTTCGCACAACCTCATGGAGGTCAGAGTCATTTATTTTATGTGACCGCTATATTCAATCTCTTCAGAACGCAATTTCGCCGCGATGCGAATAAAGCGGACAATAAAGCTGCGACCGTAGCAATCGACTCGCTCATCAATTACGAGGCAGTGAAGGTATTTCTTCATTGCATGTTTTCATTCTTTTTCGCATAAACTCTATTGCAGCATTTCAACAATGAGAAATTTGAGATTGCGCAGTACGATAAACATCTCAAACAACATGAGAAATCTTCCGTGAAGATCACCACGTCTTTGGCCTACCTGAATTCTGGACAGAATGTAATTTTTTCCACGGCATTGACGGCTACAATGTTCCTTGCTGCACAAGGCGTCATGAAAGGTATGTTCGGCCAAAGTCTCATAACGCACCTTTAGTCTCAGGCGAGATCAGGGACCATGACTGTTGGTGACCTTGTCATGGCAAACCAACTAATTTTCCAGCTGTCACTTCCCTTGAACTTCCTGGGCAGTATTTATCGCGAGCTGCGTCAGAATCTCTTGGACATGGAAGTCTTGTTCAATATTCAGACTGAAAATGCTCCCGCCAAGGTACGCTCTAGAGCTCGTTCATCATCTCAAGTTTTTTGCTGACATCTTTTCCGCTCGCAAAGGATAAAGTAGACGCAAAACCCCTGGCATTGAAAGGCGGCTCCATCCGTTTCGAGAACGTGAACTTTGGTTATCATCCAGATCGGCCTATCTTCCGCAACTTGTCCTTTACCGTTCCTGCGGGCAAGAAAGTGGCCATAGTTGGCCCGTCCGGGTGCGGCAAGTCCACGGTCTTCCGTCTGCTATACCGTTTCTACGATCCATCTTCTGGTCGGATTTTCGTAGATGACCAGGACATTCACGACATTCAGCTCCAGAGTCTTCGGGAATCTATTGGCGTAGTTCCACAGGATACACCGCTGTTCCATTCTGACATCATGCACAACGTGCGGTACGGTCGCCTCGATGCCACAGACGACGAAGTACAAGCGGCTGCAATGAAGGCAAGCGTTCATAACACAGTCGTGGGCCTTCCGGAAGGCTACAAGACCACGGTCGGCGAGAGAGGTTTGATGATTTCTGGAGGAGAAAAGCAGCGGTTGGCGATCGCACGTGTGTTGCTGAAAGATCCTCCGATCCTCTTCTTTGATGAAGCTGTAAGCTCCTGTGCACTGCTTTTCATATCGTGTATTCCTTGACCCCAATTTTCAGACGTCAGCCTTAGATGCTCACACGGAATCAGAGCTCATGCGGAGCATCAATACCACGTTGCTGGACAAGGCACGGACAAGTATATTTATTGCCCATAGACTCCGCACCGTGGTTGAAGCAGGTGAGCATCACTTATGCTCTATTGTTGCTTGCGCATCCTGATGATTTTGTCTAGATTTGATCATTGTACTCAAGGATGGTCAGGTTGCGGAACAGGGTACCCATGAGGAGCTATTACGCCTAGGCGGTTTGTATCATAATATGTGGGTCCAGCAGGCCTCTGATAATTCATTGGAGAGCTTGGCCGAGTCTTAAGCTCGGAGCCAATGCTATTATTCGGTTGCGCCGGTTCCTGACTCCATGGACAACATCACCTCAAAATCCATAATGCAATTCGCAGACAGACATTTATAGATTTTAATTTAAAGAGCACATCATCTGATGTTGATGGATTTGCGATGTGCATGGACTTCCCATGATCATTTTCCCGATCTCATGTGGTCGGTCTCACAGCATCACAAACAGTTGTCTTGGCGGGGTGATAGCCTCTAGTATTTGTCGTATTTGTTGCATTTGAGGCTGGAGAAAGCTATTCACGGATGTGGTGTGAAATATGGCCATGGTTAGGGACCCGTCAGGAATGAATCTCATCAATGTCATCATCACTTAGAACCTGCACGAACCGTTCTTATCGTCCAAAAGTGTGTGATTGACGTTGTAATATGTATACAGCAAATCTGGGTCACCGAATCGCAATCATCGACCATAGTTTTTGTCCAGCGTAACTCTCGCCCACGTCAGTCCGTCCTCGAACCTGATCCACGTTTCAAGCCCCCTAGTTGGATTTGCAGAGGAGAACACGATATTCCGTACACCGTGGCCCCATCCTAGGCGATTGTAGCCGCCGTAGCTAAGACAGCAATGAGCGTAAATGATGAGCATTCACTGAACCAAATGGAGTCAACCAGTGAGCGCCACATACCCAGAATGCTTGTCGAAACAAAATATCACATCCTTCGAAGGTTCACGGGCACACCACTCGTTGCCGTGATCTGCAAAGAAAACGACACATAGCGGGTCAGCGGGGCTGTATGATAAAAGACAAGACATGTAAATTGGCAGTCTCACCATGTCCAGAGATAACTGCATGGAGGTTCTTGATATTGGCATTCAGTGCATCCCAAAACGGTTGGTCATTTCCTGCTGATGACGCGTCAGTGGTGGCTTGTGTTGATCCCCGGGATAGAACGTCAGCTCAAAAGAAAAACACGAAAGTGAGCGACCAGATGACGTCAGATATATTCGATTTCACTCACCATTTAGTCCTGGGTTTCGTACAGCGTTCAATGTCTTTTGCACGCTCTCAATTGCATGTCTTATATTATTATTGCAGGATGAGAACACAGTCCTTAGTTGGATGGATTTCACTTACGGAGGTATATGTACGAAGGCTAAAGCCCCTCGCGCTCTCCTTTCTATCGAATCCCACCCAGCTTCCATTGCAGCTGTCTCGCTCTTGATCCATCCTGCTACAGAGGCGTCCACCCAGTCGGGTAGCGGCGCGGATGATGGTCCAGGAGAATAACCACCTGGTAGTGAAAGGACGTCAGCGGTTCGACTAAAAGCACGATGAAAAAGATGGGAGGGTACCTCGGGAATCGAAAAACCATAGGATCAAAGCAGGCGTCAGATCTTGAAACAAAATACTCGGGTAAGCTGAGGGGCTTAAGGATGAACGTTCTTATCTTCAGATACGCACCAGTCGCCTTTTCGTAGATCTACATGTACAGTCAATGATTTGATTTTGAAAGATGACTCTTGTAACATACTGGAACCCAATACGTGCCCTCCCCTCCCCTCCCTCCGATACCAGATGGTGCAGTGCGAGTGTAGCTCAGAGAACTAACGTGCTGCTCGCGCTGTATTTCTTCAAGATGTGTGATGTTTCGCTGATTGTCATGGTTCTAACAAATATTATTCTCGTCATATACATTTCTAGTAACAGTTCACATAAAGGAGACACACCCCATATGTGGAAGAGAAGGGGATTTTTGCTTCGTTTAGAGGAGCTACTATGGCGTCGATGAGAGTGGTGGAATTCTCCCGGAATGTATCTAAAACACGGGAGGTATGCTGTCACCTGAGGCGATCAATAACCTGAGTCAATTTGAACTCACTTTCACCGGTGATCAAGTCTCCATTCAGAACGCTGGAAGGGGTGCTATGTTGTTACAAATATCCAACTGCGAGGCAAGTGAACACAGTCCATACACGTAGTCAGGCTTCTCATCGGAAAGTACAGTTTTCATCAGTCGTGCACTATTAACATCCTGTTTAGGTCCCCAGTCGTCCCAGGGATTTTCACCATAATGGAGATCTGAGAATACGGTCAATTTGAAAGTCCCAGAGGAACTGAAGGTCAGTCGTGGTTTATCGGGATACGGGTTGAGTTGAGAGGGTAATGCTAGAAATGTCATCCGACCTGCAGAAACGGTGTATCGATGAGTATATGTATGATCTTGCGTAAGTGTCGGAAATGTTGCATACCACTCGGAGATGCTTCCACCATTCCTGCGCAGAAGAGGGCCAGAGTACTTGATGTGACAAGAATATTCTTGTATGCAAACACGAGAGAACCATTGCGTTCGTCGTCCAGTGGTGACAATACTTACCCAATACTGACAGAATTATAGCGTAGCGACGTGACTTATATATAGTTGGGAGTACTGGGAGGTTCTAAGCCGACGATAGTACTCCGACGACTGGTTCAACCGTTCAACTGTTCGACTGAATCGTTTCAAACCGTTCGAGTGCCATGCATGCCACGGCTGCCGTTCATGGATGGCACTCGAACGGTTGAACGATCATGCACATGAGTCCTCGGAGTGTCGTTGGGCTTAGAATTCGAGAACACCTCCGACAGGCTCGTTTCATCGATATGACCGGTGGACTTAGTCTGTACAGTTCTTCCTGCTACAACTTTCATGAGGATGGCATGGTCTTGCTTAGGGACACTCCCTCAGTAATCACATTTACCCAGGATGCAACTCCAAGCACACAGTCAACGTTTCCAACTTCGCAAGCGGAGTCACCGCTAGCAGCCCGATTGCCTGTAAGATGTGCACCCCCTGTTCATCCGCAGCCTGACATGTAAATTCATAACACCACGTCTGCCCCATGTTACACAGATCTCCCGCGCGATATTTCTCCCCCGAGAACAAAATCGTAGCCTAAGCGTGGACTCAAGGGATATTTACTATTTGAACATCTCAAAAACCGTGATCTGGAATGGTTCAAGATACACCATCAGTCCGCCGCTGCTCCTGATCCCAAATCGCAAGTCCTGTGGTGGGTCTAGCCGCTCAGCCTGATACATTTGAGTCGTTGAATGGTGCACCAAGTGCCCCTGCTGCAGAGAACTTAAGGCCGTCTCGCATGTCAATGCCAAGGACGACGCATCAACGACCGTCACCAAGTGACCCCGTGACAGCAAACGAGTTTACAGCCGCGGATATCATCGATCGGTCGAGTGCATGCACCCAGACTCCAGTGCTTATAGACGCCAAACAGCCAAAGGAAGAAATCACACCTTCACAGGTCACTCTGAGTCCTCCGAGATTTGGAGAGGATATGGCTGTTTCGGCAAGGACTCAAGTCACCGTGCGGGGCCTTCCTACCCAATCTACCAGAATATGATCAAACTTCGTTGTTTGAGAAACTTACTCTGTACTCGCGATGCTCGTGGCCCACATCTGGGAACCTTTCACTGGAGACCAAGCGGGACGGGAAGAATTTCGCCATCCCGCTAGCCCCACCGATTTTTGTGAGTATCATCATGCTTTTTAAACCACGATGAAGTCGAAATAACCTGTTTAACAGTTCACTCTAGACGATTGTGTCGATGTCTCTGCCCTCATCAGAAGTGGAGAAAATACCTTTTCAGTGGTCCGACAGAGCGACATGTCACAACATGTGTTTACGCTCCATGCACACAATCCCGCGTACGAGAAATTTAGCTATCTGGCTTCATGCAGACATAGATGCGAGGACTGGAGCAAGACCATACGTGCTCTTTTCATATTTGAGTCGACGGAATTACGATGGAAGCGATCGCCGTCAAGTTCATGAAGTGGCTTGTGATGTAGGCTTGTAAACACTCGATTCGTTGAAATGATATGAAAGTTGTGGTTTCTCACAAATAAGTGACATTGGGGAGGTGCGGGCATAGAGGAAGCTCGATGATGATGGGCTTAGTAAGTAGCTTCAAGTACGACGCCCGAACGCAAATAATGGCAAACACCCTCCTGGAGTCCAACCGCCTCTCCCTCTTCCAACGTAGCGGCTATACACCCACTACTAGTAAATTCTGGGAGATGCTAGACAAGAATTTGCTCTGCTTGTTTGATTGCGTTCTACACCATACCAGTGGAACAGATTCAATGTCTGCCACCTCATCGACATCGCTGCTGTTACAGTGCCACGACTTTAAATCGCTAAGTGTTAAAGCTTTCGGTGACTCGCAGCTAATTCATGCAATAGTACTGGAATTGCGAGACGCGAGATGATATAGTTCGGAGAGCTTGTCTATGATGCGTACCACCAACTTTATGCAAAAGATCTGACCAGCCTTCTTGACGAATTTTGAACTCTATTCCTCATTTTGCAGCCTATTATATGGGAAGCCATCCTATGAATCATATCTAGGATCTCTGAGATTTCCCCGATGTTGAGAAGAAGTCCTGTATCTGGCTTAAGTTGATCATGAAGATTATACCTCCCCCCCCACCACGACGATGTCACTTCTGCCCATCATTGTGGTTGATGGTAAAAGGTTTTCCCTTACTCGCAAACTTGTTTTGCTGATTACGTCATGTCTTGCTCAACGCTTGGATCGCTTCAATATACCAGCTCTCTTTTTTGCGATCCCTGCTCTCGAGGCGAGATATAGACGGTTTTCATCGTTACTGCTTATCGTGCCGAACGTGCTTTAACAACAACAAGAACAACAACCCCACGTGCGCATCCTATCCACCATCGCACTGTATTTGGTGGAACACGGCCTTGACGATTTTTACCACTTTGTTTGCTTTTGTTCGCCAGGTTGCCACTCGCTATCATAGCCCTCGCTACGAGTTTCATAGGATCGCTTTTTGCATCTTCAGTCCAAAGTGGATTATTCTCACCGGCCTGTCTAGCCCGAGCACTACTGGCCGTATATTTTCTCAACTTTTGCACTAGGAACCGCAGGGGTCATGCTGACTTCTACGCACACGAAGTAAGGTCCGAATGTATTACCGTGTGGTTTTTTGAGCAGGGTACACCAGCTGTGCCAGTCAGCGGCTACAAACTACGAATCCAGACGAATTTTCTGTACTGGAAGGTTCTGGACTAACTCCACAATCCACCAATGCAAGAGATTCGTCTGCCTTGAATAACTCAACAACTGCCACACAATTCATCGCTGCTGTGCCACGTCTTTAAATCATTAGTGTTGATACTTTCGATGACTCGCAGCTAATTCCTGCCACAGTACTGGAATGAGGCGAGACGCAGGGCTGCACCGATGTGAAAGCAGAAACCCGACTCATGATCTCGCATTTAAAGATGAGCTACCACGCCGGTGAGTCATCCTGCTCTCGAGATATCCATAGGTACGACTGAAAGACAGTCTACTTTGATGTTTAGTGCATACCAATCAACTTTTTCATCATTCCTCCTTATCGTGCGTGTTCATCCCATCCATCCCGAGTGCTGGATTTGTCGATGACAAAATTCCGACCATCATTCTCAAAGCGTTGACTGGGACAGGTGAGCGTTCTCACTGGCGTGCGGGTTCTGGGTGACGAATGCTAATCACTTCTCAGATTCTTCGATGACGATCCCCTCTGCTATAACACTCGTCAAAGTATTTCCGATTCGGCTGCACATATGCAAGGTCTATCGCTCCGCGCCGCCCATCATTGATGGTATTTTGCCTTTACTCGCTAGGTTGCCACTCGCTACGAGTCTCACAGGATCGCCTTCTCGGCGCTCGCATCTTCATTCCGAAATGGATCATTCTCACTGGTCTGTATTTGTGCATGGTCGGTCCCCTTTGGAATTGCATTGATGGCGTTCGGTGGAGGACAGCCCGATGATTATTGTCCCATAAACCCAACCGCGACACGGCAACTCCATATATCCTGTATAACATATAGCGTAAGGAATTGTATTCCCTTGGCGATGGAACCCTTGATGGTGTCACTTCCCTTCTTCCGTCTTCCATAGTTCACGCTACATAAGGTACTATCACTCCTGGGAATCTGCAACTGGCTGTAATATGCAAAATGTTCAAAACACCTCAATGCGCTGCTTGAATCACTTCGAAAAAATTCAGGTGCATGTAGGCTACTTAGAGATGATGTGCTGTCCAAGTAGAATAAAAATTTCTTGAGTGTTGCAGCTGCGAGAGACGGAATAGTGGTGATTTGCAACCTCGTATAATCATGAATGATCCAGATCCCATAGATCCTAGAGAGATATTCAAAATATTACACCCGGAGCATATCAAACACCTTTCCAGGGTGTTAGAACACAATTTTGATAGAGGTCATTCTCTTGTTTTAAGATGCTATAGACAGAGGATTGATGACATGTATGAAAGCGTGACAGCAGATAGGAGAGTGTGTAACAAATTCAATCTCCTCTAAGTGAAAGTTGACGGTGCCGCTACTGTGCTGATGTGTGACACGACGTGACCATGTTTTGCAGAATACCAGTCAGACCCTGAATTTTCTCGGCCTTCATCCGACACTCCACCACAAAATCCTTAAAATCCTTAAAATCATATTTGTATAGAGCAGCTATGAATCTATAATGGTGCAAATCCGTAGAAGAAAATATGATGTGGTTGAGGAGTTACAAAAGATTTATTGAAAATGTTGCAGAACCCCAGGAGTGATAGTAGGGGCTCTTACAAAACCGACCAACCGTGACCTAATGTGACTTGCCGTGACTTGCTGTGACTAAACACATAAGCACTGGAATGGCCGGTCCTGAAGCTGCACTACTGGCCGCGTGACAATGAGATTAGATTAGATGTAAGTAGTACTTTGTGTGCGAGAGTGTGTGTGAAGTGTATGTAGCAAATGTGTGCTTCTCGTCGAGTTCCTTCAGTATGCTGTCAGGCAGCGTGCGGTGACCACGGTATCTTTTATTTGCCCATGTTGCTTGCTTTCCATTCAAACCTTTCTGATATCCATCAAGGAACCATGAGGCCCGGTTGGAAAACCTTTGGCTGGTGTGTAAGTTTGATTCAAATGAGTCCAAACAACACTCACCGACGCATGCACCCGATAGGAATAGAGTCGAGGGCCTTATGGACATTGGCTTCCATTTGTTCGTCCTTCTTCATGGGTGGATATAACCGGTACAGTCTTTTTGCATATCCCCAACACTGTTCAATGAAGTTTAACTCACAGTGGAATTTCGGGAGGATCATATACTTGAACCCCCACGTGTGGCAGCGCTCTTCAAGGCGACTCGGTATGACGCTCCAAACCCCACTTTAATAAACTGCGCAATACACAACATTGAGTGTGCGATACACAACCGAATGCGCGATACGACATCGAGTGCGCAATACACAACATCGATTGCGCGATACACAACGACCAAGTGCGCGATACAACAGCGGAAAGAAATGTAGCTATTTCTAGTAAACTGCACAGCCAAAATCTTCGAAGTTGGGCTCAACAATCAGGTATTTTGCAAGATTGTCAGCTGTGTGAGTGATAAGTTTTCGCTCATGATCGAAGGCACTTTGACCTTTCACAATGAATAATATAGCTTTCCAGCAATCCAGGTTTATCTTGCCAATGTCAAGTTTCTCAAACCGTTCGATGGCATCCTTGTAAGGTTGTGGATTTCGCCCATCCAGCAGAAACCGACCCATTCCATTCCACCACAACTGCTTCCAGTCCTCCTCGCATCTCTTTTGCTTCGTGCAAGTTCCTGTATGTACCATAGGTGGGGCTTGTTATGACCCACGTCCAACAATAATGTTGAAGGAGAGTTCACGACCACTAGGACTCGGTCAGAGATGACGATGAGTAACAGGATTGGATTGAGCGTTGAACGTCTAGGCTACTACAACAGTAGAAATGAAGAGGTTAAGTCTAAGGAGCTCTTACACTAACTACCCTACTCTTATACATAACATTGAGTCGGAGATATCTGGGTACGAAAGAAATCAGCCAATGAGAAAAGAGTCGTACGATACTGCGGATGAGTAAGTATGACATCATGATATATAAGCAACTGAGTAAGACGGTTACTAAATAGAAACCCAAGCTCCGACCGGTTCTTCTTTGGGAAGCGAGATTGTTCTAGTCTGTGGAGTAGGGGAGCCAATTGGAGAAGCAATGGGTGACCTATGACGAGGAGTCACGTGACCGGCTCGGGTACTAGAAGTAGCCGAAGGAAAACCGAGAAATGAAAAATGGTTCGTATTTGGGATTCGTGACATTACCCCCTTTCTAGGATGAGTGTCCTCGCGAATGTAAGATGGTCGTATGTTTTTCTGTCTCCATTCGAGGAAGTCAGGGGTCGTCAGAATTGAGGCGGAGATTCACGCCGATTTAACCGCATTTGGGTTTTCTGCATAAAAGTCAGCTACAATGAGCGGCGCATTCTTCACATCTTCCTCTGACTGCCATGTTGCTTCTGCTTCTGCATATCCTTTCCATTTTACTAAATACTGCAACTTGCGCCTGTATAGGTGGCTTTGCAATATTTGCTCTGCTTCATATTCTGGGACTTGATCAACAATATCCGGTGGCGGACGCGTTAGAGGTGGGCGATCAACGAGTCGAGAGGTTTAATGTGGGGTGAGTAACGATACATGGAAAACTGGGTGGATGCGATATTTAACTGGGAGCTTCAACTTGTAGTTTAGCTCGCCAGTCTTCTCTTCAATTTCGAATGGTCCAAGACGGCGATTGGACAACTTTTGGCTCGGACGGCACTGTTTAATGTTCGTTGCATCTAACCATACCTTGTCGCCTGGTTTGAATTCTGGTGCGTCTTTTACTTATGATCATAAAAGCGCTTCATTCGATTGTTCGCTATTTCCAGTATTGCCTTCGTTTCTTCTTGTGCCTCCTTCATCTCGGCTACTCTCTGATCGGCATGGGGAATCGTGTTGGAAGAATTAGGGGAAATCGTAAACTCGGGATTATAGCCGTAGACACATTTGAATGGGGAGTGTCCCATGACGGTTACCAAGTTATTATGTGTGAATTCAGCAATTGGAAGCCAAGAAACCCAATCAGATTGGCGGTAGGATGTGAAGAGTCGTAGGTACTGCTCGACTTCTTGATTGATACGTTCCGTTTGTCCGTCTGTCTGTGGGTGATATGCTGTTGACATGGACCACTTGGTTCCTAGTCTTTTCGAGACTTCCTGCATGAACTTGAACACAAATTGTGTTCCTCTGTCCGAAATCACCTTCTTCGGTGTTCCGTGCAACTTCCATACGTGGTTGAGAAATAAGTCCGCGACTCCCTTGGAATCAACATCCTTGGTGGTTGGAGCAAGATGCGCTTGCTTCGTGAAACGGTCAACGACTACCAAGATACTGTCTTTGCCCTGGGAGATGGGTAGATCGGTGATGAGGTCACAACTAATGGTCTGCCATGGCCCTTCTGGAACCTTGTTTGGCTTCAAAGGTCCATGGGGTTTTGACGGTAGCACCTTCGTTTGCTTGCACCGATCACATCCATTTACGTAGTCATTGACCCACTTCTGCATCTGGGGCCACCAATAATTCCGCGAGACAAGTTCAAGAGTCTTGGCACATCCCATGTGTCCTGCTGCAGGTGAGTCATGGAAGATCTCTAGCACTGAGCGACAAATTTCCTTATTATTGGGAACGTAAACCAATCCTCAGAACAAAATGAGTCCATCTTCCGTGTTCCACTCTTCCAATCCTCTTCTCAACTGCACAGGGGCCTTCTTCAGAGTTTCGATAGCATTTCGGACTTCCGGATCTAAATTGGTACAGTTTCTGATACGCTTTAACAGCGAATGCTCTCCTTCTATCAGAACCTGACCTCTTTTTGCGGCCTTGATATGAAAAAACTCGGGTTTCAGAAGCACGCGATCAGAATTGTCGTTTTCTACCCCCCCTCTGTGGTCTGGCCTTCTGGACAGAGCGTCGGCAGTGTCATTAACCTTTCCCGGTTTGTGCTGCAGAGTGAAGTTGTACTCTGCAAGGAACAAGGACCATCTTGCCTGTCGTCGAGTTAACTTCTGGCTTGTCATGAAGTACTCGAGGTTTTTATGGTCTGTCCAGATCTCTACCGGATGAGGTGCGCCCTGCACATAATGCCTCCACTCTTCCAATGCACGGATGATGGCTAAAAGTTCTTTGTCATGAATGTTGTAATTACGCTCTGCATCTTGCATCGATTTGCTGAAAAAGGCCACTGGGTGCCATAGTCCGTCTTCTTCCAACTGAGAAAGTACACCACCAGTAGCGTAGTCAGATGCGTCGCTCTCTATCTTTTGTTTTTTATTCGCATCTGGCATGACTAGCACTGGTGCGGAAGTGAACCTGTCCTTCAGAGTTTTGAAAGCCTTTTCTTGCTTGTCCGTCCATTCCCAGGGTACATCCTTTCTGATGAGTTCATTCATGGGTCTGGCAATGTTCGAGAAACCGAGAATGAATCGACGATAAAAGTTCGCAAATCCCATGAATCGCTGAATGTCCTTGACACAGGTGGGAGTGGGCCATTCCTGAACTCCCTTAACCTTGACCGGATCCATAGAGACATGTCCATCCTTGACAATCAAACCGAGAAACTCCACTTCCTTCTTCTCAAAAGAACACTTCTCCGGTTTGAGATAGAGATCATTGTCCTGCAACCTTTGTAATACCTCGCGCACCACCTTCCGATGTTTCTCTACATCACCATTGGTGAAGACCAAGATGTCGTCGATGTAGACTACAACAACCTTGCCTTCCTTTAGATCTTGGAAGATTTGGTCCATCATAGTTTGGAAGGTAGCTGGAGAGTTCGTCATGCCGAAGTACATTATGACTGGTTCGTGATGTCCGAAAGGGGTTTTGAAGGCGGCCTTCCACTGGTCTCCTTCTCTCATTCTGATATTATTATAGCCCCATCGAACGTCCATTTTCGAAAAGAGCTTTGCACCGGAGAGACGATCGATAAGGTCCTGAGAGCGAGGGAGAGGGTATGCATTTCAGATGGTTTTCTCATTCAACCTCCGATAGTCCATGATGGGTCTGAGCTTTCCGTCCTTCTTAGCAACAAAGAAGAAAGGAGCTGCTACTGGGGATTCGCTATCCCTCAGTCGTCCCAAATCATATTCCTGCTTTAACCACTTCTCACATGCGTCATTTTCGGCGGGGGACAGGGGATATGCTTTCGCATTGGGGGGAAGGTCAGTAGGATCCTTGAGGTCTACCTTGTGATCCCACTTCTTAGACTCGGGGAATTGAGTAGACTCTTCTTCAGAGAAGACCTTAAGATAGTCATGGAGCCAGTCCGGCACCATTTCTTCTACGGGCTTCTTTTCCTTCTTCTCCTCCTGCTGCGCTAACTCTGATGCTACAGAGCTCTTGTACCTGATCCACACATTCCGTGACAAATCCTCATCCTCGACTTCCTCAATCTGCACCTTCCGACCAACAGTAGTAGCAAGGTCCGATTGTTCTTCATCCTCAAGCCTGGCAGGTATAGTACCCACATGTCCATGCATTTTAGAGCTGAAGCTGTTCGACTGAACCCAATGATGGATAGAGGTTTCCTCAATATCCTCATCTTCGTCATCTTCTGTCAGTATCAACTTGGGCAACACCGAAGGGATCGAAGAGTTCATGGCTTTTCTCTTCTTTGCCTTAGTCTTTTTGACCTTGACCTTGGCTTCTTGACATTTAACCGGGCAACGGTCTAATGCCACCTTCCCTGCATTCCAATCGATACTGGGATTGTGGAATTGTAGCCAATCTATCCCAATAATGACATCATCGGATCCTAGGTCTGTGACCAGAAAGGCTACTTCTTCCTCATGATCCCCTATGGTGAGCTTCAAGTCTGCGTAATGTGTAATTGGTCCGGCGGAATTGTCCGTTTCGTCAATGTTACAGATCGACATTGGTCGAAACAACTGCTTAATCTGAACTTGATTTTTTTCTATGAATTTTTTGCTAAGGAAAAGGTTCGTTGCTCCACAATCCACTAGAGCATTGACAGCTGCTTTCTTGTGTTTCCCTTCCAATGTAACTGGCAAGTAGAAATGGTCTCGTTTATTCCCAGAACAAACTTCTGATACTTCTGCAAACATAATTGCTGAGTCACTGAGAATGGAAAAACGATTTCTTTGATCTAAGTCCACAGTCGACTTCGATCTCCCTAAAAACCCTTTTGTTCCTCCTTCTTTGCTGGGTTGTACATACTGGAGAGGCAGATCCTCTCATTAACGATGCGGTTAATATCTTCCAGGGTGAGTGCTTTCACCGCTGGAACTTCTTCCACCTTGCCGGCGCGGACTGCTGGTCCCTTGCCCTTGGTGTCGAGTGGCTTTCCCGTACAGTTACGGGCCATATGCCCTTCTTCTCCGCAGCGATAGCATTTGAATGGCTGCCCCTGCGCGCAGGGTCTGCCTCCTGCTCTGGTTGCGTCAACATCCATGGTGTTTCCTCCCTGCGACGTAGTCTTGGGTGCTCCAGCTGGTGTGGGTGGAGCAGCAGGGCCTCGCCAAGGTTGTTGTTGAGAGAAGCTTATTTTCCTCTCGTCATCAAGCTCTTCGAGGTTCTGCCTGACTAAGAGCGCCTCCCTGATCAATCCCTCCAGGGTGTCTTTCCTGTTGGGGTGGATGTTAGCCAAGTAGTTTTTGACCCGTTGGTCTAAACCATGGCGGAGTTTGCGCATTAGTTCGTAGTCGGAGAATTGACAGAAGGCGAGCTTCTGATGGAAAAGGGAGATATATTCTCCGACGGTACGATTGCCTTGTCGGAGAGATTCCAACTCTCTCGCTGCCTTTTCTTCCTTGTTGACAATGCTCCACATGACCTTCATATCCTTGACGATGCTGTTATAGGACCCGGGCCGACCGCTGAGCGCCATAGGGGTAATACTCTCTGCCCACTTGGCTGTGACTCCTCGGCAGAAGGACACGAGACATGTGCATTTCTGCTGCTCGGTTGCTCCTGGGTAACCTGTAAAGTAGATTTCGAGTTGGGTGAGGAAGGTGTCAACGTCAATGGAGTTTTTATCTCCTGTGAAGTCCACGGGTTTCGCCATTTTTAAATCAGAGCCTGAAGTCCCAGATATAGCGCCTGGGATCTTCGTTGTAGGCGAGGTCTCCAAAAGCATGACCCTGTCTTCTGCGTTCCTCAAGGATTCCTCCAGATCCCTCACCCTTTTCTTCAGGAAGTCGATCTTGTCGTCCGCATGCACCAGGCCTGCTTGCAGTTCATCGACCTCCTTCTGCAGACGGGTTATAAACTGCCTGGTGTACTCTCTTTCTGTTTCGACGACGGCATTGATTGCGTGTGAAATGTCCTGATGGGTGATGATACTCGACCCGGGCCCGGAGATGCCAAAGGGTGCAGAAGGGCCTGCGATTGGGGTGGTGGATGATCCTGCAGGTGGTAATGGGCTTAATGGGTTTCTCCATCCTTGCGGGGCCGGAGAGTGGATCACTCCCCTTGGTGGAGTTGCTACTCTTGGTACAGCTGGGGGAGCGTCTGTCACTTCCATATCCTCGGAAACATGCATCCCAGGCTCTCCTAGATTCTCGGACATGGAAGAATCTGCAAGAAGAATCTGAACAGGAAATAGTGTGGAGGAGCGCTTCCCTGGCCGCGACTAGGCGGGATCTGTATGGCGGGGCCATGATAACAAAGGTGCGAATACAGCGCTTTGGTAGCGGTTCGTCAACCTAAATGAACTCGAGAGGAGTTTGCGAAGACGTGGTGAACTTTGGGTCTGCTTTCAGCACCCTAGGTTCTTAGGTAATTGTACTAGGGTTGTAAGACCCGCGAGTGCCGTTCTGTTACGTAAGAAAGCAACTATAGTAGCGTACAGTTGGCAGGGTTTTGGGCCGAACTGTAGACGTACGGAAACAGGACCTAAAGTCGCTGATCCTTATCAACTGGCGGCTCGTAGTAAGACGAGGGCCTGGTTGACTTCTACTTAAGACTAACGTAAAGAAACTGAGATACTGAAACACGTCGGGGAAATAATGAGTTGACAAAAAATGTGATCCGCGAGAATATTCTCAAGCAGAACAGCACGGCAAAGTTCGTCGAGAACGGTGATGTCCAAGACAAAGTTCAAGTCGGAGTGGTAAAGTAGACTTAACCTAATGTTATGACCCATGTCCAACAATAATGTTGAAGGAGAGTTCATGACCACTAGGACTCGGTCAGAGATGACGATGAGTAACAGGATTGGATTGAGCGTTGAACGTCTAGGCTACTACAACAGTAGAAATGAAGAGGTTAAGTCTAAGGAGCTCTTACACTAACTACCCTACTCTTATACATAACATTGAGTCGGAGATATCTGGGTACGAAAGAAATCAGCCAATGAGAAAAGAGTCGTACGATACTGCGGATGAGTAAGTATGACATCATGATATATAAGCAACTGAGTAAGACGGTTACTAAATAGAAACCCAAGCTCCGACCGGTTCTTCTTTGGGAAGCGAGATTGTTCTAGTCTGTGGAGTAGGGGAGCCAATTGGAGAAGCAATGGGTGACCTATGACGAGGAGTCACGTGACCGGCTCGGGTACTAGAAGTAGCCGAAGGAAAACCGAGAAATGAAAAATGGTTCATATTTGGGATTCGTGACAGGCTTCACATGCAATAATCCGACGGTGTACATCCAGACGTTCCTTGACCTTGAACATCGTGTTCCACACAACGGGCCCAACAGCATGACATTCATCATCGGATATGTCATTGATGCGAGCTGAAACGAGGCGCTCGAAAGCATGCGGCAAGAAGTCTTTGATGTTGTACTTCAAAGCGAGTGAAATAAGTCGTGTCGATTTGAGTGAGTAGCAGTTGCGCTGGAGATTGTGAACAGCATAGTCACGAGCATCTTTGCAAAGATACATGTCGCTCAGCTCCAGTAGTTGAATGACAGTGTCGTTAGGTATCTTGAGGGCATCAGGCCTCCATCTGCATGGTATCAGATGTGAGCTCATTATGAAACAAACTCAGGCTCGCTTGTTGTAACAGACAGAAAGAAACAATTCGAAAGCATTTTCGCTTACTTGCGACGGTACAAATATGGGTTTGTCGTCAGTGCTACCGTCGACCTCTTCAAATTGGGTGTCCTGGCTTGCAGCAAACATATCCCTAAACCCAAGTGATTTATCCCCAAGGATGCTTGCATGCACCTTGAAGAGCGAGTCTCCTGCCTATTAGTACATTCAGGTTAGTCCACCATAAGGCTATGATCCGTCAAGTGATGCACAAACCCGGAAGATGTGGGTGCCATCTGAGAAGTAGAACATTTGATGGCGTTGAGCAGGCATTGAACTTGAATCGCCGGTCGGACAAGTCAATTGTTGAGTAGAATATTGCGTGAACACGAAGAATGGCTTAGAGGAAGAGTGAGGTGTTAGTAATAAAACCGGTCACAGAAAGTAATGCATCGGACCCAAAACACGTCACCAGTGAGAATTATGCCAGCAGAACTTTTGAACAATCTATAGCTTTCTAACTCACGTCGAATAATGGACGCTGGTCCTTTGGTGCCATTGTCACTCCCACTTCTCCCTGAAACAAAAAATTGGTCTGCAGAAATCCAAGCTGCCTATGAGAGTGTCCAATGCACTTATGATCATGCCATCTGAGTTCTTCGAGCAGATGGAGCTGACCCTACCCGTATTGCATTCCACGTGGATCTATCTTGTCAAATGCACTTCCAATCCTCGAAGCACTTGTACCAGACATTGACTCAGATGACAATCTGGAGTCTCTCCCTGTCGAATGGCTAGCTAATGTAGCCACACTACTTGGTTGTGCAGTTTCAAATCTGGAACACCTAGGAAAAACTGTAAATGAACAGTGAGTCAAATTTTTGATAGATGTATGGATACTAAGACAGGATATTTACAGAGAGGAGCATAATGTTGATATACTGGAATTAACCAGAATCGAAATCACTGGGAAACGAGGACGGCCTAAAAAAATCATAGATCTTGAATTCTTGAGGGAGGCCACCTCTTCTCAACATCAAATCAGTCATGTCGAGCTTGCGAAGATCCTTGATGTTCATCCGGAAACACTACAGCGCTACATGCGTCAACACAGCATTGAAAGGTGCTATTCCAACCTTCGTGACTGTGACCTTGATGCCCTGGTGAAGCTATTCAAGTGTCGTAGACCAGAGTCCGGTTTTCGGTACCTTGTTGGCTTTCTTCGCCAACAAGGTGTTCGTGTGCAGCATAGGCGAATATGGCAATCGCTACGACGAGTTGACAGAATTGGACGCCACTTCCAACGCCAACAAATTATTCGAAGATGGAAATATAGAGTAAAATGTTCCAATGCTCTCTGGCATTTGGACGGGCACCATAAACTGATCCGGTGGGGGGTTGTTGTTCATGGATTCATTGACGGCTACTGCAGAACAGTATGTAACTGTCATTCAGAAATTGTTGCCAACTAATGCCTGTCCAGGTAGTTGCACTGCGAGCAAGCACAAATAATTGTGCCGCTGTGGGTACAACAAGTGCAGCGGAGAGAAGTCAATCTACTACACAGTTGGGTCTTTGCTGCCTGCTGCCTTGCTTGGGAACAAGTGCATTCGACCCTTAAGGGGATTGCTACTGGGGAGTACTAGTCTCTGTCTAAACGACCCTAATCAACCCTCCCGCAGGTAGGATGAGGATCCGCAAAAATGCGGAACAAGCGGAACAAGCGGAACTCGCACGGAACAAGCGGAACCCAAGCGGAACTCAAGCGGAATGGAAAGGAATGAAACGGAACTCAAACAGATAAAGCGCGGAACGTACTGATTCGTCGGAACTCGCAGGTGAAGTCGAAGGAAGTGTATCACAAGGTTAGATTGATAGTGGGCATAAGTCAAAGCGATCCTCTAGTAAGGTGAAGGAAAAGTGGGAAGGTAAAAGATGGGATTCAATAAAATACCCCCAAGCCCTGAGTACCACTACTTAAAGGGAAGATTATTTTTAAGGAACACTGAGGTACAGGTAGTAAGTCTCTCAGGAAGCGGAAGTGAAGGCAGGCAGTGCACATGGGCGCAATACTCCGGAATAGGGGTCCGTGCCATAAGGGCATGTGTCAGTTTGATCTGGATAACGTTAGGAACAGCGGGAAGAGGGATACAGCATACCAATGGACCTGGAAGGATGGGGACAGGACATGTGAAGGTTGTCCGACGATGCACGGGAATATCAGATAGTGCGGGCGGGTTCCGAAGGATGCGCGGGAATGCGGAACCCATCGGACGATGCGCGGGAAACGCGGAATGTGCGGAATACGCGGAACTGATGTGAGACGATGCGGAAAGGACGGGGTTTTACACCTACAGTGGGGGAATTCCCCACACCGCAACAGTTCTCGATTTATTTCTTGAAGCTCAAGAGGAGTATGGTATGCCATCACGTATGCGAGGTGATCGTGGTGGTGAAAATATTGATGTTGCTACTTATATGGTCATGCGAAATGGCCCAAATCGTGGCTCTTTTATGTGGGGATCGTAAGCCTTCGTATTGTCAAATGACTGATTGGGTGTCGTGCTCACACAAGTACTGCAGGTCTACTCGAAACTCAAGGATAGAGCGCCTCTGGGTTGAAGTAGGAACCCAGTTCGTGAGACGTTGGAGGGCATTCTTCAGTCACTTGGAGAGATTGCATGGCCTCAATATTGAGAAAACGGGTCATTTGTGGCTCCTCCAAGGTCTATTCTTGGATGCTATCAACGATGACTGTAAGAGCTTTCGAGAAGAATGGAATCTTCATCCAATCGCTGGCCCATCAATGAACAATAAGAGCCCACAAGTAGGTAGTGATCGAGTCAAAATTGTGAACACTGACACAGCATTTATCACAGGATCTGCGACTGATAAGCCAGGCAACACTTGGCATTTACCGAGACAATTGTGAAGGAGTTCACCCAGACACAATTGAACGATACTATGGCACTCATGGGCAAGAACAGACTTGTTGTCATGGACAGACTGGTGCTGGCCATCCTGACGACGAAGACACTAATTTGGAGGATCAGCTTGTCTCACAGATAGAAGAAGATCAGGAACAGAATGTTCACCATGCTGCGATTGAAGTGCCCGGAAAGAAAAGTCCCTTCGTGACCCAGGATGATGAGAACCTTTTTTTTTCAACAGTCGAGCAAATAGTTGACGAGGGCATCATACCTGAAGGTTATGGCTTATTACCTGATGAGCAAGGTGACGAGGATGCAGCCATGGTCGAAGTCTTACAATTTGGGAGACGTGGAACAAAGTCTATCATAGTATCATTAAGTGACTCTGTCTGGGAAGCTCGTGCAACACTCTGGTGTCAAGGATTGTCAGCATTATCTTTGTTTGAAACTGAAAGATACTTTTAGCTAAACGTAGTACATGAAATATGCTCAAAAATATGCTTAAAATTTGGCTAGAGACTTACAGTCAATAACCAAGACAAAATTCTTCCATAAAGCACATCTATTTGTTCTTCCGAGCCATCTCCACTTCATCTCATACATTGCTATGTCCGACCGCCATGAAAAGTACTGCCGAGACTTTCATGAAGGAGGGCAAGCCTGCACCTGTGAGTGCTTCACCCCACCCTCCAACCCCGATGCTCCTTACTACTGCCGAGAATGCCAGCACGGGTTTAGCAAACATCCCGAGGCACTAAATTCCACTTTGCAAGGTGCACCTCGAAGGCAAGATGGCACAGAACTGTCCGGAAAAAACAGGTTGGTCAACATATTCAAGCAAAAAACCAGCTTGGGGTCTGCAGCAAGATCCTTGCCAACTGCTACCTCATCCAAAAACGTACTTGACCAGGTGATGGATGTTGAGCAAGCCTCGGTAGTCAGAGATGAAGTCATGAAAGGCTTCAGGGCTGGTGTACACTTACAAAACAGCAAGGTCAATAAGGTGCGAAGCACATTATACATGATCATGATACTTACAAGTCAGACTCGGAGCAGTTGCAATCTCGTCGGGTTCCTAGTAGTAGGGCAAGGGCTGCATCATCAAGTCAATTTGATGTAGATGGGGATAAAATCGCGAAGGTTGCATCATGGCTTCTTTTGGTGAATTGCCTTGACGTGAATATCTCTCTCTTTTTTTACATGAGAAAAAACTAACAGAATATGTTGAAGGACGACGGTAATCTCAAGAGCACGAGTCCACCATCACGGACACAGTTGCACAACATGGAATGTCGTTGATGTGCACATATCGAGACCGCTAACAAATTTTCGTTCAATTGAATGTGGACTCATGATGAGGTTCATCAGTACCTGCAAAATGAAGTGTTTCCATTGGCATTTGAATATGTCAATTCAAAAGAAAAGGGGAAAGGAATTGGCATACCTTCTTGCCCATGGGTTTTAATAAGCAAGGAGAGGCTTCGATATGAGGTCGTAAATGTCGACAAGCCCACCGGCAGCGATCTTGCACGATTCCGAGGCAGACCCAAGTGCCCTGTGAAAGATGCCAACATCATCATAGGTAAGAAGCTCTATGTCCTACAATTTCTTGATAGGCTAATTTCCGTGTCTTCAGCATTGTGGAGAGGAATTCCAGAACATATATATGCATCGTGGGATCCTGAATATCAAGAGACGGGGGATGATGGGATATTTTTTGATTCCAACGATGCTTCAAGTTTCGAGGAGCCAAAACCAACAATATTAACACATGCAGGTAAGTTTATCTAATATCGGTCAATTATTTGGTTCATATCTATCTCTCGTTTGCTAGCCGCTGCGAAGCTCAAACGTGGACGAGAATCATCTGTTGAGATTGTCTCCGACACGGAATCCAAACCTTCTGCCAAAAAAATGAAAGGTGTGTAATATTTCACAAGTTGTCCTGTCACTCACTCATTGTTCTAGCAGGCATCACAGTGAAGCAGGAGGACTTACTAGTGTCATATTTCCAAGCACGGAGTGTTTTTTACACAGCCTCACAGCCTAACAAACATTCGTTCATCTTTAAACTTTTTCTCTCTCGCTCACTCACTCACAATTTAGTTTTTCTAGAAAGCTCCAATGCAGACATCGATGAACTTCCCAATGTTATTCGACAGTTGTCTCTAGTGCCAGAGACCCCGGTGTGAAAGGACACCCTCCCCTCCGGCTCTTTTTTCAGCGCGCAGGCTGGGTCAAGCCATCAGGCATCAAATTTCAGCACCGCTGATTTACTATCTAGACAATTCCTTCTTCATCCTGTCTCCAAGCCACTTGACTTTGTAGAGCCCTGACCATCTGATATCTTCTTGCATGGTGTCCTCAACCCTGATAGTCCATCTGCCCCTCCTCGTATTAATCCTTGGTCTGAAGATTATTTTATAGGTGATGTGAATATTGCCGTCTAACACTCTGTGCCCTACTGCTATCTACTTAGTATCCTTTTAATCTCGAAGCTTCCCTTGTCTATCTATACCTTGCTACCCTGACCTGCTACCTGACCAAAATCCTCCTGCTATGATACACTACCTTAATCTTACACCCATTATACACCGTGACTGTTAGTATCTCACAATGTCCTTGATGTCATAAACACGACACTTGTAGGCTGTGTGGCACTTTGGTGCCCTGTATCGCGCATTTGGTCGTTGTGTGTCACGCAATCGATGTTGTGTATCGCGCACTCGATATCGTATCGCACATTCGGTTGTGTATCGCACACTCGATGTTGTGTGTCGTGCAGTTTATTAAAGTGGGGTTTGGAGCGTCATAACTCGGGACATTAATGAAATCTGAACATGGAGTCATTCTGCAGTCAGATCTGCAAACATTGAACCATGAAAAGGTAGTCACAAACATACATTCTCTGAGTCTTTGTTGACCTCATATCCAAGTTGATTTAAGCCTCGACGTGTGTGCCGAAGGTTTGCAATACTTGCACGGACCCTCTTGCTTCGTGGGGCCCACTGATGCGGCGGTAGAAACGTAACGGCCGGCCAATGGTGGCGGTGACAAACTCTGCCTAAAGTATGCCGTATATATATATATTGTCCATGGTTAGCTCTACATCCACTTTTTTACAATTCTGCTTCCTGTGAACTATGCTAGATAGCCTGCTCTATGATTCCACTGGTCTCAGATTTTCTCTCCTGCATAAATCTCTCGTGTTATCATCCTAACTGTGTTTTGTCACGCTTTCATCACAAATGTCATGTGATATTGGTCGGTTTTGCAAGAGCCCTACCTTATAAAAAGTACAATTTTATGTAGTAGTTCTACAGAGAATCGTCACCCTATCTCACACGGCCTTCGAACTCGCAGCCTTGTCACTACAACATGTAGCAGACTTACAATAGCACGCACTCTGACGCAAGCGCTTTACGAAACGCAAAGTCTATCTCAGCTTAGGAACACTACTGGCAACTCCACACCTGGGTGCCAGGTCATCCATCCATTCACGTATAGAAGCACATAGAGCAGTGCGTGCGAAACCGGTCACAAAGGCAACAAGTGCAACAGAGAGTAATTTGTAGGAGGATGCTGAACGGAGTTAGGTTTCCGGGTGGTATCGAGGCGCGTAGCACACACTGCATGATCATCAGTCCTGATTTGAATTTGCATGATCCTTGTAGATACGGACCGGGTCAAAACCGGCCACGCCATGCCCTCGCATTGGTGATTGAAATATCTGAGTAAGTGTTAAGCTTTAGCAAGTACCACCGTGAATTCCCACACAGACTTTGCTAGATAGATAAGCAGAAGACCTATCATCGTAGTATGTATGTTATCTGGTGCGGTTGACACTGCGAGCGCCAACTATGTCTTTTCCGGAGAAAGAGCCTGAGACGACAGGGGTCACGCCCCGACAAACTATGCGAGGCCATACGCACTGTATACGAGGTGTTGTGCACCTGCCTGGGGAACAGCGCACGATGACATGTTCGTTAGACGGCACACTGCGACTATGGGACATGGAGAGCGGGGGACAGATCGGGAACGAGTGGCAAGACGGGGATACAGCAATGTACGCTATAGCATTGTCACCAAACGGCAAGACAGTTGCAAGTGGAAGCGATGATGGGATAGTGAGGTTATGGGACGTGGAGATGGGGAAAGTGGTTAGGAGATGGACGGGGCATACTGAGGGTGTGCAGTCAGTGTGCTGGAGTGGAGATGGTGAGCGGGTGATGAGCGGATCAAGAGACGGGACGGCAAGAGAATGGGATGCATTGGGAAGTGGAAACCCGATTGTAGGCGCAATCAAGACGGGACACGAGTCAGTATTGGCGGTCATTTATTCGCCAGACTCAACAAAAATTGCTACGAGCGGATACAACTTGCAGGAATCAGTAAAAATCTGGGACACCAAGACAGCCGAACTGGTTCAAACACTCAAACAACCTTTTACAGTTCACAGTTTGGCTTGGACCTCGGATAATAACAAGCTTATCTCCGGCTCATATCGCTCTATTAGGATATTCGACACTGCCACATGGAATCAGATCGCCATCCTCGAGGGTCACAAAAGCAATATCAACGCCATATCCTTGTCACGCAATAACCGTATCCTTGCTAGTGCATCACGCGATAAAACCTTATGTCTATGGAATCTAGACACAAACCTCCAAGTCGGTCCACCACTACAGCACCAAAATATCGTACCCTGCGCTGCCTTTTCAGCTGATGCAAGGCTGCTAGTCACTGGTTGCGACGACAGTAACGCTTACGTGTGGGATACCCATGCCATCCTCAATCAAGCTGGCCTTGATCACCTCCTACCTGTGAGTATAAATATTATGGCTCTAGACTACACTAATCTCCCACCCACTCGCAGGTGATAGACGTGCGTGTCATCTTCTCCAACATTTTCGTTCATTTTAAGATCGACTTTAATATTCTAGGGTGATGCTACGTCACATCCACCTCATCCACTACTGCCAGATGACCCCCGAGATGTCCGTCGTCAGCGTTTTTTTACCCTGTTCTCTTCTGACCTCTGTGTACACAGTCCTCCGCGACGCCTGCCCCCCACCGCCGTCGCTGGAGTCCACGCGTGCTCCTCGACGGCCTTTCATCGCTCTTCCGCCGCTCTCACACCAACACCGACAAGCGGGACTCAAAGGTATGTCTTCCTTCCCGCGCGTTTCCAATCCTCGTGACTCGGTCATTCCTTTGCAGCCGCCGACCGTTTCTCGGAGGCCGAAACGAGACAATACGCAACCAGCACGAGGCCAAGCCTAAACGTCGTCATCACAAACTCAACCTACCGCCGCCTCGATGTCCCCAACATCTCCTACTCCTGCTACTGGTATCACGCAGCCACCACCCCTCTCTTTGTGCGCTCGTTTCGTCCTTATTCTCTGCTGCGCATCTCCTGCAATCACCAATGGTTATTAAATACATACAGCATGAGCTTAACTATTGTGTCTTTGCTTTCTAGTTCTCGCGTATTGTTATCTCTTTGTCCATGTCCCGTTTCCATTTGACCCGCCGCAAAACGAAGGTGGATTAAAGCATCAGGCGGCAGCGTGCATTTCAACGGTTCCCTCCTTCAATTTCGTCGCCCACCGTCTACCGCGCTGCATTGAAAATAAATCTTAATGTTGCTTGCACTGAAACATACTACTGATCAGATGATACCACGCGCTTCTAGGCTCACTTGGTCGGTTTTTCAGTGCGTTACACCTCAGAGAACTCCGAACTCAAAGCTCGGACCGCTTAACAAGTCACTGAATCGGTTCCCAGTCGACTGGCGCTTTATAGTCGACGAGAAAACGCCATCGCAGCGTGGATATCATTCCAAAGGACTTCTCAACTCAAAAGCCCCTCGTCCTCTCCCAAACCATCTTTCTGTGGTATCCGGAACCTAACAGACGCGTAAACACCTGCACATCAAACGTTTACCCAAGCACTCAGAAATTCTCATCCACCAAAAACACCTCCAGAGGCAAAGGCCGAGATCTGCAGAATGATTGGAAATCTCGTGGTGTCCGAGGTTGAGTTCCTCGGGCTTCCGAAGGGTTACGAACGGCTCTGCTAAAACTGAGTCTGCAATGCCCTGGAAACCGTCGAACTCGTCAATTCTGTTGCCGCGGAATCTGAGATGCCTGAGTTACACATACATGTGTCTTCAAATTATCCGCGACGCACCCCAAATCGATGATGTGTAAGTATTTTTGCGGGACGGGAGGGTGGGTTCGGGAGAGTTGACAGCATCGTGCTGTGTTCGGAGAAGATGTTCCAACTTCGAGGCTTTCTAGTATACAAAGAGTTCTGGCACGATGAATTCAATCATAAGATTTACCCAAAGCTTGTATTTACATAAATGTAAATATACCGATCAGTGCTGTTGATCAATCGATGTATTCATCACAGATTGAGTCCTTTCTTTTGGTTGACTCGTAGCAGAACGAAGGTGGATCAAAACATGGGGCCACGGGTGGAAGCTTAAGCCCCGGGTTTGAGCTATTTCCTCCGTCAATGATGGCGGTCACCCCACCCACCCCGCGCTGCATTCAGTATTAATGTTGCTTGGTCTCACATTTCAGCACGTTACGCCGTCAGAGAATTCTGAACAAACTCGGGCCTCTCAATAAGCCACTGAATAAGAAATTTGCACCGTCGTCTCGCGCTTTGAAGTCAGTAAGAAAATATCATCGCATTTCAACCAATGCAACGAGTCAGCATCAGCGAGGGTATTATTCCAAGCGACCTCTCAGCCAGCTTAAAAGGCCCCTCGTCCCCTCCCTCTCCCAAACCCTCCTCTGTGGTATCCGGAACCTAACAGACGCGTAAACACCACCACGCAACACGCACATGAAACCAAGTACTCACAAGTTCCCATCCACCAAAAAGACTTCCAGAGGCAGAAGACCGAGTTCTGCAGGAAGCTTGGAAACCTCATTGTCTCTGAGGTCTAATTCCTCCAATTTCCAATCGGGCACCGAACGATTACCTCTGAAAAGCTCTGCGATGCCCTGGAAGCCGTCGAGCTCGTTGATCTGGTTGCCGCGGAGTCTGAGATGCCTGAGGCCTTTGCGGGAATTGGAGGCGTCGGCTAGGATGAGGGAGGATATGACATCTTGCTGCAGTGAAGCTGATGTAAGAGCGTTGTAAGATAGATCCAACGTTCGAAGACTCGGGAACAAAGCGCGTTAATAAATGCAAAAGTGCATCGTTGGAGCGAGGAGGAGTGGTGGACCCTGTGTCGGCTCGACGTGTCACGGAGACTTGATCGCCGAATCCACACCCATCTAGAACGAGTTCCTCCAGGTTTGGAAGTAGGGCGTCGCCGGTGGTTGGGAGAGAAACGCAAAGATCAAATTTGCGGTTGCTTAAGGTGAGAATCTTGAGCGTCTGGGCGAATGACTGGGCTGATATGGCGGCGAGGGGGAGTGACGGTGTGGGCAGGGCGATATCTGTTTTGCCTTGAGAGGACGGTGAATTCGAGAATGTTGCTAGAGAGAATGATCGAGCATGACACTTTGTTGGAGCTGAGAGCGGGGGTAAAGTGAGTGTTTGAGTGGAAGCGTGGTAGTATTGCGGGTTGGTTAGACTTGCGGTCGATAACGATTGCGAGGTGCTAACAGGCGTGGGCGGGCGTCCGCGTCCGATAAGAGAACTGGGCTTCGGAACTGCAGCAGTATTAGTATTTACTGCAGACGTTGCTGCTGCCGCTCTTGCTCGTCGTCGTCCACCCTCCGTTAACAAACCCTGCTCTGCCTCGATCTCCCAAGTCTCCTTGACGACTTCCGCGTTATTTTGGCTTACGTCGGTTTTGCTGGGTCCACCAGCGCTTTCCGTACTTGCCGCATTCCTAGATACACGGTTCTTCACCCTTCTCTCCGCCTCTATCTCCCAAGCTTCCCGAACGACCTTTTTACCGACCGACACTCGCAGAGTGCCTTCCGGTGGCTCCTCAGTAGTAAAATCATACGTAATATCTTGCTTCAACCCAGATAACGCAGATTGTAAGCCTTCCATAGTAGCCCGAGTTTCCCCCAGGTCAAGGATCCGCAGCCGAGCGAAACAATAACCCTCCGAAGTAGATAAATTGCTGGGAAAGGCATCATCCCCGATGTCGGCAGTTTCACAACGAAGCTCCTTGAGATGTCCCAAGCGACTCAGGGCTCGAATAAATGCAGGGTTAGAGTCTCCCGAAGCCAGAGGATTCGCAGAAAAGTCAGCCTTGGATATCAAAGGAGGCAGATTGGCATGGTCTATGCTGGAAGCGGTGAGTTTATTGTGAGACGCGTCCAGGATGGAAAGGCGGGGCAATGGCGATGAGGCTCTTGTGATAACAGGACCAAAGAAGCCCCCCGAACTGAAGGTGTCATTTCGCGCATTGCGTGAGGAAGACTTAGAGAACGGGGCACCAAAGGAGAGCTCGCTAAGGGTGTTATGGGACAGGTTCATGACCGTGAGATTGGGCAAGGCGAAGATGTTTGAAGGCAAAGCAGTGAGGGAATTATGAGAAAGATCTAGGGTAGTTAATGCCGTAAGGTCGGCAAAGGTATCAGGTAGACGAGTGATCTTGTTTTGATGCAACTTGCAATGGACAAGGTGTCAGCATCATCTATCACGGGAGGACATAGTCAACACTTACATCTACCGTCTTCAGTGATCCAAAGAGAGAGATTTCATGCTGTATTTCAACAATTTCGTTGTTCCATGCTTTGAGTACATGCAAGTCCTGGGCTTCAAACCACGCCGGACCTTCTCGTTGGCCAACCCGTTTAGACAAAGTTAAAGCATCCGTGGAGGACGATATAGGCGGCTCTGAAGGAACCGACCTCAATGGATCAGCAGTAACTCCCAGATGAATGTCAAACAAGGCAGAAGGAATGCATGGTAGAGAGCGAGAGGACAAATTGATGGAACCTGCAAGAGTGACCTTGTCTGATCAATGGAACGCATCCAGCACAGAGCGCGTCCACTCACCTGTGCTTCGAGCACGCTCGATGGTCTCTTTCACCGACCACCTCCCCAATTCGGGTGCCTCTTCTTCTTTCTTCTTCGCTGCGATCGGATCTGCATCTTCGAGGTTCTCAAAATCACCAAAACTTGCGCTAGTGCCGAGGCCTGCTGAAGAAGTAGATACAGCCTTCCTGGCTTCGGCTCGTTTTAGAGCGATGACTTCTTTGATGCTCAGTGGTGTTTTTGGAACGGGTGGCTCGTCTTCGACGGGCGGTGGCTTGCGGAGGGCCTTGGACGGAGATTTGGGAACAGACTTTGTCCTTGCGCGAGGGGAAGATGCGCTAGCAGAAGGCTTAGACGGCGACGGAGCGCGTGAGCGAGAAGGAGGCGCAAGGTTCGTCTTCACCGTTGGACGTGGAGTTGGTAGAGGGATACGAGACATCTTTGAATATTGAAAGTTTGAAATGAGTTAACTTGCAGAGGTAAATTAGAGAAAGAGGCAAAAGTTAAAAGAATTGCAGTCTTCGGACAACCTTCGGGAGACGGCGACTTTGCAGTCACGCAAAATTAACCGACATTTCTTATGTACGATGTGCACATTCACGACTCGGGCCTCAGGAGTGATCAAGTGACAAGGGTGCATGCATATGACTTCCTGAAGTAAAGCAAAGCACATAATATGATATTCTACGTGCCATCCGGTTGTGATCCATCAGAATCACCATCTCCGTCATCATCATATATCCTGACGTTTTGAACGTCGTCTTCAACCCTTGCAACATCTTCTGACTCGCCTTCCTCCCGACGGTATACCGATAGATCCCAGTCTTCAGTTTCTTCGTCGTCGTCTTCGAACCATTCTGGATTGTATTGGAACTAGAGTTCGCTTGAGTCAATAGGGGATGTTCGTGTATTATCTCATTAGTACGTACCAAATCTCGCCCACTCATGCCAGAGTTCTTGCCGGCCGCATGTTGCGTCTCTTTCGCTTTCCGCATGGCCTCCGTTTCAGCTTCTTTCTTGTCCATTCTGGTTTTCTTCCATTTCGCGAAAGTTTCTGGAGTGACTGGGGTTAAATTTGATCCCAGTTTGTGGCGCTGTGATATCGCAACGTGAGATTCTTTGGAAACCCTATGACTCCTCGATAGCACTCGCCTGAACTTCCAGGAAGTCTTCCAGACTGATGATATTGGCTTTCGCAGCCTCCTCAGCTGCCTTCCGCTCCGATTTGAGGACAAACCCAGGAGGCAAGGCATGCCTGTACTGGCACTTTTCGCTGCCATTAGGGCATTCCCAGAACCACCCAAACCTTGAAAGGACGTGATTAAGTCAGTCCAATCGTAGAGTCAAAATTACCGCACTTTTGAGTCTCGATGGCCTCGATAAAAAATTTGCATACAATCTATACGTACGTTGAGTATAGGTCCGAGTGGTGACGCATTCCGACGCACATCTGTTGTTGTTCTAGGATTGCCGTGTTTCGATAGGACAACGTTCCGCAGCTTCTCTTCGTCCCAGTTCTCCATCGTATCTGACAAAGGACATGATGAGATATTCGACCAGTTGATCCATGTCATGGACCACCGTACCTTTCATCTTGTCTTCTCTACCATCATCATACAAATTCTTCTTCTCCACCTTGCGGCCAACATTGAGGTCGTGACTGAATTTGCACTTGTTACCCTTCTCACAGTTTCCAGCTTTGTAGAAAGCACAAAGCACCGTTTTGGGATCGACCCCAAAAGGCACCTTTTGCGTCTGAACAGGCTTGAACATAGCAGCTTCCTCCTTCCTGCGCTTCTCCTCATCGAGTTTCGCTTTCTCGCGTAGTTCTTTTTCTTTCTCCTTTGCAACCGCTTCCTTGGACTTGCCAGTCATAGCTTGCTGCTGCTGCAAGATCTGCACCTGCTTCTGAACCTTGGCAGATTTATTTTTCTGTACAAACGGTCAGAAATGTGGACACGAATGGAACTGCTTTGTCTACATTCTTCATGCCAAAAGTCTTTGTAGAGTAACTGATCGGTCAATTCTTTCCTGAGATGTAGCTGCATGATGATCTACCTTGTCATCCTTGACCTTCGACCCTGAAGGTGCGTTCTGCTTCTTTGGAGGCATGATTAGGGTAGCTGGTGATCGTGAGCGAGTAAAGACTGTATCAAAAAGTTAACAATAGTGCTGTCTGTAGCCCTCCGCGAAGGTCTGTCACTTGCAGAGATCGTGAGCACTTTAGCCACAATTCAAGTGGTGCTGATAAATCTTACGAAAATGGTTTACAAACTTACATAAGACAAGTTTGCTAATATTGCGAAGTCGACTATCAAGCTGCGAGCGTGAAAGTAGTTCCTGTGTAGTTCACTACATAGGACTTGACCAGGTAGAGTGAGGTCTTTAAGAGTGTTTTGACTTCACTGATCACAACCGTCTCCGTGGCACGCAGCAATCGATGTCCGAAGACCTTGAGCAGCAAATTTCCATTCTTCGCAAATCGCGATGGGTTAATCTCTCTGGGCTCATCGATTGCGCTACAAAACGTCTTTCGAAACCTACCTGCCGATCCATCCAACTTCTCGGAAATGGCAGTTACAATACCGTCTACAAACTGATCTTTGCTGATGGCACTGAGATCGCCGCTAGCGTGTCAGTGCATGATGACGAAGACTTCAATCCCCAGGCAAAGCTGTCTGAGATAGCCACCATGCAGTTCGTCCGTGCATCCGGTTTATATCCAGATATTCTGGTCCCACAAGTCCATGCTTGGGATATTACGTTTTCTAATCCAGTCGGTGCGCCATATGTTCTCATGGACATCGTCCGCGGACGAAAGCTCGAAAATCTCAACAACAATGACAACCTTCGTGGCCTGGATAGTATGTCGGAAGTGCAACAGCTGACCGTCACCACAACTCTGGCAAAGCTACAGTCTGCTTTGTCGGCACCCGTCTCGTTTGGCAAGATCGGCAGCATTACCCTCAACGACGAAGGAAGCTTTGTCGTAGGACCACTCTTCAGCATTACACAGAAGAATTTGGGGGGGCCATATAAATCCCTTGCTGATCTCTGGAGAGCCCGTCTGGAGCATGAGATCTTACACGCTATGAGGGACTGGATCAGGCTTGAGACGAACCAGCTTTCTCAATCGCTCTCAGAGCCCAAATGCACCCCTCAAAAGTTTTCAGAACTTTTCCAACTTCTCTCCTCGCTCACGCCTCACTTCGTTCCTCCATCTTCTTATCTGCCCTTGGTCTTACACCATCCCGACCTCGCACTCCGTAACGTCTTTTTTGATCCAACCGATGACACGAAGATAGTAGGGCTAATAGACTGGGGCGGCGCACAGATCCTCCCTCTCATTCTCACCGCCAAATTCCCCGGCGACTTGAATTCGACCGGGGATGATCCCTGTGAGAGACAGGGGATCCCTGATGAGGGTTGGAACACTGTCCCGCATGACTGGACTTCCTTCGGTGACACTTCCAAGTGGCCAAAGGTCTTCCGTGGCGCAAACGATCAAGTTGATTTGACTATTCGAGCGAGCGCTATGGTCAGGCGGTATTACCTTCGTCAGCACTTTGGTGCACGTTTTGCTCTGGAGAACCATGATAGATATAGCGACTATGACACTGGTCGCGCGATGTTGTTCGCACATGCGCCGTATTATCTCAAGTTTCATGAGATCATCGCGGGCGGCTGGACCGCTTGGGTCGATCATGCCGAATGGATACGTGAGACATTTAGGCGATTAAGTGCGGTACGAAAGGACCCCCGGGGCCATGCATTAATTGTTGGTCCGAACGTCTACCGCAGCTCTATGGAGAAGCCAGTGTTTGACTTGAGCATCTTCGAGGAGCAGTCCTCTGAAGATGACCAAGATGGCGAAGAAGAGAAGATGGGCGAATAAGCTTTCGTACATATAGCAGATGGTACGTGGCAACACTCCATACAGCACGAAAACATCATACATGCTAACTGATCCATTCGCTCTTAGCATACGTCATATCGCATTGTCCCTTTAACATCCTCGTTCTATCAATAGCAGGTATGTTATCTGCGGCGTTTGCAACAAAGTTGGAGCAACTGACCTTGGCCTCGATAGCTTTGATCATCTCGTCGATGATGGTCTTGACAGAGTCACTCCAAGTAGACGACTCGTATGTCACATACGCCCCCGGCTTCCCCTTCCGCGCGACGATAATGACATACTTTGGAGGTTCTCCACTCGTATGCATCGACTTCGTCTGAAAAGTGATGTTCGTTTGGGACTGAGACTTTCTATCGCCGTGCCAAGGGATGTACTTCCCCTCACCATACACCTTCTCGACTTTTTCAGGATCTACATTCTCCAGATACTGTTTTACTTCCTTGAGATCTTTCTTGGATGCACTTCCCTGTAGGTATATGCTAAGTTAACGAGGCGGATGAATGCGTCGGTATGTGAAAGCCTACGTTAACATGGACAGACATTGCGGTGTGTCGTGATTGTTTGAGTGGATGTTGGACGAGGCTTGGGGGTATCTGTGGCAACACGAAGACGTATTTATATGTCACTAAGTGGGATGAATTGCGCCCTAATGACATACTTTGGAGGTTTTCCGCTCGTATGCATCGACTTCGTCTGAAAAGTGATGTTTGTTTGGGAATGAGACTTTCCATCGCCGTGCCGAGGGATGTACCTCCCCTCACCATACACCTTCTCGACTTTTTCGGGATCTACATTCTCCAGATGCTGGTTTACTTCCTTGAGATCTTCCTTGGATGCACTTCCCTGTAGGTGTATGCTAAGTTAACGAGGCGGATGAATGCGTCGGTATTGAAAGCCTACGTCAACATGTGCAGACATTGCGGTGTGTCGTGATTGTTTGAGTGGATGTTGGACGAGGCTTGGGGGTATCTGTGGCAATACGAAGACGTACTTATATGTCACTAAGTGGAATGAATTGCGCCCTAATGACATACTTTGGAGGTTTTCCACTCGTATGCATCGACTTCGTCTGAAAAGTGATGTTCGTTTAGGACTGAGACTTTCTATCGCCGTGCCGAGGGATGTACTTCCCCTCACCATACACCTTCTCGACTTTTTCGGGATCTACATTCTCCAGATACTGGTTTACTTCCTTGAGATCTTTCTTGGATGCACTTCCCTGTAGGTGTATGTTAAGTTAACGAGGCGGATGAATGCGTCGGTATGTGAAAGCCTACGTTAGCATGGACAGACATTGCGGTGTGTCGTAATTGGTTGAGTGGATGTTGGACGAGGCTTCGAGGGTATCTGTGGCAACATGAAGACGTACTTATATACCACTAAGTGGGATGAATTGCGCCCGTCCGGTCATGGGACAGCACCTTCCGTATGAAGGTCTCGACTTGCGCCAGCGGATACAGCGGTACTGGTGTACACATATGCATTTGAAATCGGCAGTCGCATGAACCTGATGGTCAGACATCCATTCTATCATAGGGTGTGTCGTTATTGGACTCTGTGAGCGATTTTGCGGCGGCACAGTGACAACGCCTGGCAGTTGCTCAATAACGCGGCACTCAGCCAATCTATAGCACGCCAATTCTCTGCAGCAGGCAGCCTTGAGATAGCCAGTGATCACCAGGCGTTGTGCACGGCAAACGACATTTTTGGTGATGCTCATCAGGACTTGCTTATTATACTATACGTTGCGATATTAGCAATTCGACATTGAAGGTGTTCTGTTTAGCTGACCTTCGTGTCACTGATAATTACGCGCGAACAGAGTGCATGCGCAGAGCGGTCAAGCTACGAGGGAGGAGTTCTAGTGGATCCTGCCACTTTGCTGGGACAAAAGAACCAGCGAGGGACATGATGTGCATCGGCGCATCAGTAAACCGGTGAGACTTAGATATTAGTAGATTTTGTAGTATTTTGTAAGCCCAATGCTTCTTTCCTGTACATTATGATACAAAGTAATACTATCACCTGATTCGGAATGCACAATGCACTCCAGAGCTCACCACTCTACATATATTTCATTCGGAACAGATGGAGGACAAGTATTAGCATATGTTCAATAAGACTACCAAATTAAATATTTAAAATCGGCGCTGTGAAGCCTTCCCGAGATGAAACATTGTGCGAGTGTACCCAAAATGAGTGATTTTTGGACACTAAATCCAAGATTCACCCAGATCCCATTAACCTATCAACATAAGAACTTCAACATATGTGAAATACACCATTCTGAATCTACTCCAGGTGTAATGATCATGAAACGTGAAACCTTCTCCTCGCAGATGGGCTTGATTACAATGTAAGTCCATTGGCATTGGCGATGGGTGTACACTCACTCATCACATTTTTACGCTAAAAGTCTTCTCGCCAAGTGAGTCGTCCTCACCAGTAGTAAAAGAGGCGACTAGCTTAATAGTTCGTTCAGCTTCATTGCATACCTGCAGCCAGACAGTCCACGAAATCTATATTTCCAATATCAGTTTTGCACGTTTTACGCAGGAGGTTCATGTTGCAGGGCTTAGATTTACCAGACGATGACTCCGGGCGACAGCAACTTGAAGGAGGGAAAGGTTAGTAGGCTGTCACGTGATTGCGTCACTATTGGACATAACTTCACCGTATCATCTCGACGTCGTGATTGGCTAGAACTAGGCTACCATCGTATGCGCCGAAGTCACTCGACATAAGTTCCACTGTATTTTCATTCCATCATCGGATAGCTAATATCCCCAATAGATCAATCTTGCCTACTCAGGTCGATCAGAAGACCGACTCTGACTAAGCAGGCATCCCTGTCTGATGAAGAATTCACGATAGTGCTGTTTAGGTGACCTCCGCAAGGTTCGGTAGCACTCAGTCTGTCACTGGCAGTGATTAGATCTGAGGACGTCCGCTCCAAGTCCGCTCGTTGAGTAGTATACTTTAAATACAATGGATGTCAAGCGGTGTGGTGCTAACAGGTGCTGAAGCGCTGACATGTTGTCATAAACATAGGTTACAAAGTTCCACCCATGGCTTAGCGTATCTCTTTGCTGTATTAGCGGTGCAGGAGCGATGCTGGCGAGATAGAACTCAAAAGCTTGCTGTATTGTTATTATCCTTCCTTTGATCCTAAACTATATCTCATCATCTGGCATAGAATCAGTCAACTACTTTCATGAGCCAGGCGACGTTCACTTTCGCCGGCGGAAGCATGGCTCCCCTGATCACCGGTCTTGGTATATCATCTATGTGCGAGTGTTGTCAAGAGCAGTATCAACAGCCATCTGACGAACGCTAACAGAGTTTTCTTCATTTTGACTGCGCAAGTCTGGATCTATTTCCGAAGACACACAATTCGATCTCGAGAAAGTAGACAGAGCAAAATTCTCGTACGAATGTAGATCACTTATCACAGACTGCCGGCTGACAATGCAGAACAGGTTGCCTTCATCTGGTAAATCTCTTCAAGTATACAATACTGCATTTGACTTGACGGACAACTGACGTTGTTTTACAGGTTAATCCAAGCTGCTCAGATGTGAGTCCCTATTGAAAGATGCGCGCATGCCACCACTGGAACCCCCACTAGGGTAATTACTTCTCGGATCTCCAGCACTCATACGACGGTGTTCAAGGATATCCCCCGTTTTATTGGCCATATGTCGATGTTAGTATCATATGTCAGTGACTCATCGGTGCTCTTTCTGACGGAACGACAGAGAATGGGCGTTGTATTCTGGAATATGTGTAAGTGGTGCTTTTTCTTCTCTCCGTCCCGACCTTAAGCTCACTGTCATTTTCACAGTCCTTGACCACTTCCCTTGTGCATGGCGTTTTTATCTGTAGGATTTTCAGACGTACGTGTCACCAAGGTACCACTGTCATTGCTTCTCTCTGATGCGCGCATGAAGTTGAGAAGAGTCTCCGTGGTAACCGAAAAATGTCATTCATTCTGGTACGGACTGCATTAGGCTACCTCGGAAGCAGTGGTTAATTGCTCCGATCAGATTGCGTCATGTGTCATCGAGCAAGGTTCGGTAATTTACGCTGCAGTGGAGAGCCGTTATTGAACCATGCGAGATAGCTTTCGGTCTTCTCACTGCTATCTGCGTGTAGGTCCAATTCATCAGTGTCGCGCTGTCAAGCATGATAATCCCAAACACGGAAAACAGCTTCAAACTAAGTGATTATTCTTACTACACAATAGTTCTTGTAAGTTCATCTCCCGTTGATTAGGATATGACTCATAAAGATGAAGTGGTCTACCCCAGTCGCCCTTGGTTGTTCAGCAATTGATGATGTTCTTATCGCTGGCACTCTGGTCTATATTCTTCACAGAAATAGAACTGAATTCCGAAGGTGATTGATAAATTTGAGTATGGATTTAACCTCCAATTGACTATCTCGGTGCCCAGAACTAACCAAATGATCACGAAACTCATAATTTTCAGCTCACAGACCGGTTTGATTACAACGTAAGTCCTTTGGCATTGACGATAGGTATGCACCTACTACTTCTTACGCAGCGTGGCGGCATCCATCACCATAGGAATTGTGAGTGCCTTTATCCGTTTCGCGCCTTAAATCATTGCTCTGACCACGATGTAGTGGGTATTTTTCCGCCTCGATGTTGAACATCTATATATGTGTTTTCCCATGGGAGGCTGTGAGAGTCTCGTTATTATCACTCAAATACTTTCTGACGTTTTGCTATAACAGTATATGCTACATGTCTTCTCTCCAAGTGAGGCGTTTTCAGCAGTAATAGACGAGGTGACTGATAGCTCGTTCAGCTTCATTGCCCGGGAATCCTACCTGCAGCCACAGACAATCCGCGAAACCGAGATTTCCGGAATCAGTTTTGGCCGTTTCACGCAGGAAGTTCATATGAACTTGGATTCACATTCGTTATCAGACACGAGATCTAGGCAACAGGAGACATTGGTAATGGAAGGAGGCGGAGTTTCCGACTCTATTCTATTGCAAGCGTCCTCAAAATAAGTCAGGTTTTGATTTAGTGTTACTTACATATATACATAATACACTATAGGTCTTTACGTCAAAGTGGTTATAGCTCTTAATCCTTATAAAAGAGCCTCCTCCTTGTTCCATCGAATCCGAGAAGTTCCCCAGGAAGGAAGGAATTCTCCACCTGGAAACCGAGCTCAACGAATTTCTCGACTGGGTTGGAAGTATCATTGAGGTGGATCGTGATCGCCAAAATTATGGTGATTATTTTCACTCCAATACCAAGCTTCTCAGACGGACCCATTGAAAGGAGGGTCGACAGTTGACCTCAATGTGCGGTGGAGTAGATACATGTCCGTTGTTCCGCAGGCCACGTTCCCTGAATGACGCACACCTTTGACATCATAACATTGATTGGATCCAAACGGTCGCGTGTAATCCCTCCAATAGGCGTGATTCGGGGTCCTTGGGCAGTGTTAACTGGGGGAACATTAAGAAACGAGTGTCCCCTTCACCTTCGCGAGTAAGCTCCAGGACACGTTGTCCTTCTAGTAGCATCGCGGCGAGATGGTATACGGAGCATCTGGAGGAATGAGTCGCGGAGGCCATCGGACCTGATACAAGGTTGCGTGATCAGCAAGTGCGTAGGCGTCAAAATAATTTGTGATTGGGATGGCGAATGCTAGTTTCAATATTGAGCCCCTGCGAACATCATACAAGAAGTTCGGACGGAACTTTAGTATGTCCGTTTTCAGGATCGTGTACATGTTAGTCGTTTCGATGTCTACGGTCCATGTTTGTTCGAGGTTCCATTGATCGTAAAGCACTAGGACCAATAGTAATTTGGAGAGTAGGTAATAACCTATCGAAGGAATGGCCAATATCTCGTTCATGCGCAAATAGGTGCTGTCGCCGTCGAGGACCAACCTATGCATCTTTCTGGGAAGAACTATTATCAATATTCATCACAAGCTAAATAATTGATTACATCGTCAAGACTTCTCCGGTCATTTCCTTTGTGATTGCGAAATGAACAATTCGGCCCTCCAATGTCGTCGTTGAGACGGTAGAAAATAAAAATTGGTTGCGCGCGGTGAATAAAGAATACGAGGTCCGTATCGGACTCTGAACGACCTCTATCTTCATCAAAGATGCTACAATCGAAAGAATAGATTTCGTGGAGCTTCGGATAAACCGCAAACCTTCCAGCTACGAGGGAGCAGAACTTTCTCTTGATATCAGGGATAAGAAGTTGTGAATGGTTGACAGGAATGGGCGTCTTGAACTATTGTTTGTGGACTCTGTAACTTGTTATCGTGGTGTCTTTAAGTTCCTGTACCGACTGGTGGAGGAACGGCCCGGATGGTCGGGGTAACCAGCTCGTCGTGTATAAGGGTTTCCAGATCGTCTTATCTTCCTATATGCTGTGGAAAAGCTTGCACACCTGCCGTGGACGTCTCAGTGAGCTTAGTAGGTGATGAGCGACATACCCGTCGCACCGATGATACATCTTCCAGAAGTAAGAAGCAGAAGATTTGATACAGCACGTCAATAGGCAATGATTGCATCGCGGATGTGATCGTGGAATGATGTAATAGGAAGATTTTTGGCGCCTTATACACCTATAACCAAGGTCGAGAACGAGGACACAATCGGGGTGGCATGTCCAGATGACAACGGGCCTTAGCAAGTTACCACGGTGAACATCGGTCAACTTTGGTACCAGTAAACACCGTCGCAGAGTGATCAAACGCCACAACGCAGCTGGGGATTAGTCAAGATTGTGCGGCTGTCAAAGAACTCAGGAGTCCGGGCCTACTATAGCGCCACAGAAGGGACCACATTCTTTCTATGCCGTACACTAGTCATCTGGTGTGTCTGCCCTTGGTCTGCCTGCGTGCACAAATTTCAAAGAATTGTTCCCCAAAAAAGCGCAAACCATACCAGCAACGTTGCGTGTCGACAATATCCCCTGCTTTTCTTTCGGTCTTGTGTTCTTCTCTCTATGAGTATCGAGGTAGAATGTAAGAAGATCACATAACTTAACATTTTTCGGAGAGATGCTTTCGCGGGCGTGATGTCGATGTCTTGATGAGTATCGCCGATATAACCCATGACTATCCTATACCATCCTCCAGGAAGGCTATGAATTCCTCTCAAACTCGGCGCGGATCCCATGTCCTGGCACTTCAAGTGCACAGTGCTTCGAGTGCCTGCGAGAAAACTTTATGCATGTCTTCATCACAGTCCTTCCCGCGCAAGAGTGGCTTACTTTCGAGGATGGGTTGTGGGTATTTAAACGGACGAAGGCTGCCATTGACTGAAAAATGTGTATTGAATTTGGTGAGAGAACGTCGGTTGCCACCATCAAACTCGATAAATACTTGGTATCGGAATGTTTATATTGACGATAAAAGTCAGTTAGCGCAGAAATCGCCTTCTTCGCTGCGCCAAAATATGCGGCCGTAATCCGCATACCCACATCGGTCGAGTGGTATAATAGCGGCAAAACGGGAGGTAGTACTTACAGATTAGGACGATCGGTCAAGACGACTCAAGACGACGCCTGCAAAGCCGACGTGTGCGCCTGTCCCGTAGATGTCAGACCTCGATGTCTCAGTATGTTTTTAGAAACCTATCAGCAACATAGATAATGAAACATGGAAGATGGGAGCCGGATAAGTCCTTGAATGCATTTCTTACAAAAGTAGCGTAGTAAATCGCTCCTTGAAAGAGCGGTTTGGCGCCTTTCATACCGATCTCCCCCTTGACTTCTAAGATTGCGTAGCCCAGTTCTCCGCAACGCAAGTCTCCATCAGTTGTATAGTCGGTAGCACCGATGATCTCTGAGGCATTGAAGTTGAGGCCATATTTTTAGAAAGGCATCGGACTACTTCTGCCCGCTCGCCTTCATTTTTGTTGAATTTTGATATAGAGTGCGACAAGTTCAACAAGCTTCTCTTGTGTGTATGTAGTCATCACAGTCATCCTGGAACTGGCCGAAAACGGGGCGATACAAGGTGATAGGGATCGACGCAGGGGGGGGCCGGTTAAATAGAACGCGGGGGAGTTCAGTAGCGAATTTTTTTGGCCACCCCAATGCCGGAGGAGCCCTGTTTGAAAAGGCTTAATTCCAAGCGTCCCGCATTTTCGTCAGGAACATCAAACGAGAGGGCGCCAGTCGCGAGGTGGGGCGGTCTGGAAGCCCGCCGTTAGGTCGCTACAATCAACAAGCAATTACACTCATTAGCTGGACGTCGCACAATAATGTGGAAATTGCCGCTCTCTGGCATATCCGGGAACTCTTCCGAGAGGGTGATCCATGCGGGCTCCAAAGGAGTCGTGTTCGATCTCGTCGAATACAGCTTCTTTCGACCGCTTCCGTCCTTGCAGTCTTGACATTGAAGGCCTAGTCTGAGCCATCACAAGGACCCAGCATTAATGAGGCGCAGGGGTGTGTCCGACATTATGAATATTGTTTGTGGACGCGGACACTGGAAGGCCCTGGCAGTGGACCTCAGTGGAGTCTACATGAGTCACAGTGGTGGACAAGATAATGACACGTGATCGCGTTGGATGTTACGCGTTTGTCACAAGTCACGGGATTGGTTTGAGTGGAAGTCCTTTAAGTGGGTAGCTCAGCCTCTTGACCCTGCTGTTTCTTTCTGGTGTCGACTTCTTCCAGTATGAGCCATCCAAGATACAGCGTGCTCAACCTTTTTGACCCCCTTAATGCAACTCCAAGGAGTGAAGTCACAACCCCAGACTCGCTCTCAGGATCCGACAAGGAAAACGCTGAGCCAAGCCACGAATCCTACTATGAATCCGACAAGCTCACGATGACAGCGTTCTTCAACCGGACTTACAAGACGCAGAACAAGCACTATTCCCCGGTAGTCCTTAGAACGCGTCTCGTTGATGTTGGTGACGTGACTATCATGGATGAAACTGCCGATCTTCTTAACGGGCTCACCATCGAAGAAGAACCTGAAGATGACGTAGATAACGTGTCACTTGTTGATGAAAACATGGACCTAGATGAACAGGACTCACTGGCCACGCCGATGAACAGTCCCCCGAGACACACGCACAGTCGCTACATTCCCACGCAAACACCATCATCCGAACACACTCCTACTCCTCATGCTCAGCGCACCCCTCTTGCGGATATCTCTTTGGATGCAACACCTGTTCCGCGCAAAGTAGTAAAAGCCCCCCTAGCTTCCCTCGAAGCTCCAGATTCTGGCGTGGAACGTTACTCCACACCGGTCACAGCAGTCCGCTCTGGTTACGCTACCTTGGCGCCAGCTGGCTCACCGCTAGCTTCTGTAATCAATGCGATCAACTTCACAGATCAAAATGTGCCATCAAAGGAGGGCATTCCTCAATCCGCTACTCCTATTATCGTTGTGTCGGGCATAGAGAGCTTAGGTTCATCTACGTCACAGCTATCACCGTCACTCTCGAGCGCTCTCCTCACGCATACCCACCTCTCTGAGTCGATGCTCCCTGAATCTACTGTCTCATTGTCACCTCCTTCTAAATATCAGATCCAGTCATCTCCTTTGCGAGACACATTAGCTGCCCCAGCTGCACGTCCTCGCCCGCGCGCTCGAGCACACACAACATCTTCGCCAGCATTTGATCCGCGTCGATGCTCTGTGGATCTCCACTCTTCGTTCAACCTCCAACTCCAATGCCCTGAATCGTCTTTCGATCTTATGAATGACAGGATCTCATTCTTTGGCGGTGATACTTATACGATTGACGCCGATGATTTCGACATGCAAGCCGAAGAAGAGATGATGGAGGCCCTCGCGAAACGAATCAAGGAGAAGGATGCAGCGGCAAAACCTATGGCAGTTGCTGCCTCTCCAGGTGAGCCGTGTTGTCTTGTTAGACGTATTTCAAGCCTCACTTCGTTTGTAGTACCACGATCTGTGCCTATCCAGATGGCGACACAGCCATCGCCTCCCATCGTTGCTGCGAATAGTACGTTCCTATCTGTCAGAAAATTTTCCCTCTTTTCACGTTACTGTATCAGCTCCCCCCGCAAATATGAGATCCTCCACAAGACGGAGCAGTCTCTCTCCGGGAATGAAATTGTCATCCCCCTCCTCGCAGCCATCTATAATTATAACACCTAAGGATGAGGTCTCTGAGTTGCGAAAGCCTTCCACGCCTTTATCTCCGATCGACACGACTGTTTGTCCTACACTATCAGTGACACCACCGAAAGTTTCGCAGGCATTTGTTGCACCAGTCCCCGCAGCCCCAGTACATGCCCTCCGCATCGTGAAGCGGCCCAAGGCACATGACAGGACAACTTCCGTGTCTAGTGTGGGCTCGTCATCTACTGGAAGTAGCACCAGCATGGAGGAGCAGGCAGCACCAGCTGCGCCCCCCGTCCCGATACACAAACCAGTACTAACGGGGGTGCGCCGCCCCCCTCCCGGGCTTATGCCTGCCGACTTTAAGGCGAATATGTTTTGCAAGCCTGAAGAGGGTGTGCGCCCTTCACTTGGTGTGAAGGGCAAACTCACGAGCGTCCTCGGTCTGCGCACAAAGGCTACCGAGCCCCTCCGTTCGCCTATTGAGACGTACATGCCCCCGCCACCCGCACAGACATTAAAGCTAGCTAGCGGGACGATTAAATCGAGGTTATTAAAGCCAACTGCTTCATCACTTAGCAAGGTACCGCCAGCGAAGATACCTACCGCATCTAATACCACTGCTGCATCAAAGACCCTGCGCCCCCCATCGCGCTTTGCGACTGTGGGCACGGCTTCGGGGCTGCCCCGTCCCACGGGCGGAGCGATACCTTCATCCAGGCTTCCAGCGCCCACATTTAGCGCGCCGAAGTCAAAACTGCCCAGCATGACCGGGAGTTCGAGCATGATCGGAAGGAGTGCCACTATCCGGAAGATTTAAGAGGTAATGGAAAGAAAAACTCGAAACTTGAGGGAGGGGGACGACGCGCATGGGATGGAATTTCACGTATGTCGAGCATGTTATCATTGCATTTTTCTTGCGGCATTTTTTTTCCCTTTGATTCAACTCTGATTTGTTCTCTGGTCTCTCACTTTTGTTCTGTATGTCGTTACATATGCCCCGTTTTTTATATCACTCACAATGCATGCACATCAGGGGGGTTGTAGATACGCATCTTAGCATGGCGGTTTAGTGTTCACTCAGTTATAGAAATCACAGTTCATGCATAGAATCGCCTAGCTAGTCCTGCTTCAGTTGTGTGACAAGGGCCCGGGAGACGTGGATTGGCAGAGCGTGCCACTAGAACATAAAACTTCCAACACTTGTACATATGCATCTCCGAGTCCGTCGAACGTCTGCGCGCCTGTATTGAATCATTGAGCACCGTTACCGTAGTCTTCTTGCGAAACGTCTGTGATGGATAGCACATATATTTTAGTGTCGACCATAATGCAGAAGGAACCACTCTCTTCATTCTATCTGATTTGCCAGCGAAGACTCATTTTCGACTAAGATTCTTACATACTTTGGATGTGTTTGACTATATGATCCCTTACGCCTTATCCTCCACGATGGACGGGATGGATCACACCATGCAATGAACACAGGTCGCTAACATCTCCTCATTGAATGATACCCGGCGTGCGTGTAAGAATGAACACGCGCACCGTTGTGTGCCGTTCATCTCCTAGGATAGACGAGACCACCGTCGTAATACCAATATAATGTTCAGGGACGAAACGCACGGTGATACCACTTGTAATTCCAATTTGCAACTTTGTTATACAACACGCCACGTTATACTAGCCGGAATCCACTGCGCACTCCGCCACCAACTGCATCTACTGGACATTGTGCTGCGAGGAAGGCTTCACGACAAAGACTTCCGGGACCGGATTGCCCTCCCTGAACACGGTGCACGATTGAATTCCCTCCCGCTGCCAGACGTCGGCTCTGCCGATGTCGATAGGATAGAAATTCATTGAGCCGTTCTCCTCGTTGTAAGTAGTGACGGAGATTGAGATCACGCCGCCGGTTGAGTTGGTAAAGGTGATAGGTGCCATTGTAGTACCTGCTCCCGTATCCGGAATGATTATTATGAATTCGGTATAAACATTTGAGCGCACCTTTGCAATTGAGCTGTTGCAGAAGATTGAGATAAAACTTCGATGAGGAGGTCAAGATATCTGGAAACTGGGTCAGACAGGAGGAAATACCACACCAGACGCCAGACTCACTCAGAGCGATTGAAGGAACGATGGGGACCTACAGTTGCACCATCGGGTATTTATATGCACGGACGATTGTCTTCTGAGCTCAGATCCAAAAGAACAATTATTGCCTGCAACAACGAAATAAAATAATGTGAAGTAACCAACTCCATGTGGACCCGACTAGCAGAACTTACGTGCACCAAGTCCAGGTGACCCCTGAATCGTATGCTTCCAATGGGGTTTGCGCTTATCTGGGGGCCCCGGAGTGCTTCACAAGCACGGTTTAGTTTTGGGAGTTAGAAATGAAGGAAGGAATTGATCCAAATTGATCCCCGCTAGAAAACAGATCAAGTGGATTTGGTGCGGTCCAGTCTGGATTTGGAGAGAAGCCTAAAGAAGCCTGTTCCTGAGGGCACCATCACCCTAATTACGCTGGCTCTCACTGATCTGCAGGTTGTGGAGAATCCAAGCGCCCAACGTGACAGCTGATCCCTGGCAATGCGGGTGAATAAGTGAATGTACGGAATGAAAATATGAATTGTGACACAAACTTGAGACAGTGAGACCGTCAGCATCCCCACGATTCGTTTGCAAGGAATGTTTGTTCAATAAGATAAGTGACTATCAGCGGAAGTCAGTGAATTGTTCACTGGACTGTTCAGAGCCGTAGACGTAAACCGTTAAACTTGAGTTCGCCCAGTTCGTCACCAAGACTCCTGTAGTGCCGTACCGACAAATGTTCCCTACAAGCGGAAATTGAGGAATGTATTGTAACTTCTTTGCAATGGAAGTGCCAGACGTCGCTGACGAGAGATCGATGTATCTCTATCGGAAGACTCCTGTGCCGGGCGCCATCGATAAACTCGCAAAGGCAAGCGAAATCAAGGGATGTTTGGGGTAACTCCTTTTGCAATGGAAGTGACAGCGTGGACTACTAACTTTCGTCATAAATGACTGACCACGAGGTGATGAGCTGCAATCGCAGGATGGTTCACCATTGAATTACATAACTTACACGATTCAGGGGTGCGTGCGTTACTCGGTACAGCAGAATGTTGAACCCTCCCCCTGAGGACGTACAGATCATCGATTAGTACAATCGCGGGTTCGACGACCAATCAACATTCGTATTCCCAAATAACCAGTTGCATTATACCCTCACGCTCATTGTTATCTTTCCCATTCGAATTCCGAAGTTGCTAGCCTCCGTCGAGCAGAAAATCAGATCTGGCGTTCGGAAGGGACTAGTGACATGAAACGAGAACGCAACGGTGAGAAGTCGATTATGTTACCCTCCACGATATCGATATCATGTTGGATTTGTTTCAGCCGTCGTTGAGATATCTCGATTCTAAGTTGAACGCTGTGATGAGCGTAGTGGAGGATTTTCACACGACACCATGTGGGGTAGGCTTGGGGCAGGACCTGGCAGGCACACCTGCCGGAGATTGCCGGATGAGTTGGGGACTGATTTATGTAAGAAGTACGTTGATTATACTACCACCACCACTGTCCTTTCAGGCTTACGATCCCGATGCAGCTGACTGGCATGCTACTATTCGAGAACTTCAACCTGCCCGCCGAGTCTGGGGAACCCGTACATGATTGTGAATGAGTTGGCCGTTAAACCTGTGATTGTAAGATCGATTATCTGTACGTGGGGGCAGCTCAGCATTCTGCTGTACTTAGCAACACACGCACCCCTGAATCATGTAAGTCAATGCTGGTGAACCATACTGTAATTACCACTCACCACCTCGTGATTAGCCATTATCACGAAAGTTGGCACTCCACCTTGTCATTTTTATTGCAAAAGGAGAATATTCGCTTGCGAGAAACGTTTGTCGATGCGGCAGCCGGCACAAGAGTCTTCCGATAGAGTTCTCCGCAGAGACGTCTAACGTTTCCATTCCAAAAGAAGTCACAATACATTCCTCGTTTTCCGCTCGCGAGGAACGTTTGACGGCACGGCAGTCTTCCAAGTTGTACCGAACTGGGTGAACTCAAATTTAACAGTTTACGTCTGTGGCTCCTACCAGAATGGTGCAAGGCGTCGAGATTCATCCGAGCGATCGCCTGACTGAGTCCACTGATAGTCGCTTTATCACAATCGACAAACACTCGAATTTCATTGGACGCGAGTTCAAGGGATGACAGTCTCAAGCGTTTGCGGAATGGAAGTATCAGGCCGCTGCTCAGGACAAAAATCATCCTGTCAGCATCGACAGACCTTGCTTGCCAGTGAATTCGAACAATGGTTCGTTAACATTGTTTCAGTCGAAGTGTCACGCCGCCTGATGATTCAGGAAACTTCCGAAACTTCGTTGTAATACGGGGATAAGTCAGTATGTAAGTTCCTTTCATACGTTTGGCTCCGCATCAAGGCGCTCACCGGATAATGACCGTCGTCAGCATCTTGTAATGAAAGATGGAATATCAGGCTGCCGAATATATTGTGCTGAGGGGCACGCATTCACTCACCCGCTTTGTCAGGGATCAGCTGTCACGTCGAGCGCTTGTATTCTCCACAGCCTCAGGGCTAGCGTAATCGTAGTGAATGCTGCTATCAGGAACAAGGTTCTATAGGTTCGGTGCCACCTTTTCTCCGAGCTCAGACCGCGCCAATCCACATGATCTGTTTTCTAGCGGGGATCAGTTGCATTCTCCATTTCTGACTACCAAAACTAAACTGTGCTTGCGAAGCACGCCCGGGCCCCCAGATAAGCGCAAACTCCATTGGAAGCATACGATTCAGGGGCCATCTGGACTTGGTGCACGTAAGTTCTGCTAGTCGGGTCCACATGGAGTTGGTTACTTCACATTATTTTATTTCGTTGCTGCAGGCAATAATTGTTCTTTTGGATCTGAGCTCAGAAGGCAATCATCCGTGCGTATAAATACGCGATGTTGCAACTGTAGCTCCCCATCGTTCCTTCAATCGCTCTGAGTGAGTCCGGGGTCTGGTGTGGTATTTCCTCCTGTCTGACCCAGTTTCCAGATATCTTGACCTCCTCATCGAAGTCTTATCTCAATCTTCTGCAACGCTCGATTGTAAAGGTACGCTCAAATGTTTACACCAAGTTCATCATAGTCATTCCAGACACATGAGCAGGCACTACCATGGCACCTATCACCATTACCAATGCAACCCACGGCGTGATCCAAGTCAGGATCACTACTTACGAGGACGAAGGCTCGTCGGAGTTCTGGGCTATCGAGCCAGGCTGTCCTGAAGTCTGGCAGCGAAACAAGATTCAATCGTGCACCGTATTCAGGGCCGGCAATCCGGTCCCGGATGTCTTTGTCGTGCAGCCTGATGACTCCCGCACTATCCAGTAGATGCAGTCGATGACGATGTGCGCAGCGAATCGCTGCCAGAATGACGTGTTATGTTGTATAACAAAGTTGCAAATTGGAATAACAAGTGCTATCGTACGCGTGTGACTGCTGCTCTGCAATTTGATCCTGAACATTAAGTGTGTTGGTACTACGACGGTGGTCTCGTCTCCAACCTAGGAGAGGGAACCATGCACGATGATGCGCGTGTTAATTCTTCCACGCATGGGCAGATGGGATTCTAGGGAAGACGCAATCACTTTGTGAAGCTGAACACGAATGCAAGACAACTTGAAGTGATCATAGAACTAACACATACATGGTCTAGTATATATGAGTATGTGAATGATTGACATGGCCTCGTAGTAAAACGGGACATGCATCACGACTCCCGTATTGTATAAGGAAGAAATCCGGATTCTCATGACTTCACGAGTCCAGACTCCAGACTCAGAGGCGATCGAAAACAAATGGACATCACCAAACACCGGTACCATCGGAGAGGGCATTACAATTTCAAGGCCGCTAGCATCGTAATCGCACTGTAATTATACTGAGTAATATGTCAACTTGCCATGAAGTGGTTGGAGACCGCGACCTCCGTGCTTGAATAATACCTAGCACGTCCAGCGTGCATGCGAAACCATGGAAGACTAAAGCACCTCGTGTTTTGAAGGCGAACACAGCATTTGCAATAACAATGCACATTCATAGGACACAAAAAAAAATCAACGAACATCACGGGATAGTACCAACTCCAGTGTCCTCTCGGAAAACCATATAGGACGGAGACTTCTTTATTGGACAATTTCCAAACACGAGTAGATCCCAACCTCAGGTATCTGGAGCTGCTCCTGTGATACGGCGGTTGAGAACCACAGAAGATTTAAGAGATTGGGGTAGCTGTTGACCTCGCGCCAGTCCTCGCTCTCCCAGGCATCAACTTCGTCGACGCAAGGGAGCATGGAGAAGATGATGCGAGCGATAACCTCAGCATTCGCTTCCTCGAGGAAAGAGAAACTAAAATGCAAAATTTTCAGGGAGGTGTGTTGAAATGACTCGGCTTCAGGATCAATATCAATATTCACGGTGTCAATCGATATTTGCAGGTCTTCCAACTGGGGACGTAGACGGAGCGCTGCGAATAATCCGCGGAATGTTACAGTAGATGGAGGAAGACGTGGGTCACTCGATAATTTCAAAAGGCGGATGTGCGGCCAACTTGACATGGCTGTCGAAAGAAGGTCGTTGTCAAGGTAGATGGTGTAATGATCAAAAGTGAGCCAGTGTTCGCAGCTGCGCGAAACAGAAGAATTGGCTAGTCGCCGTCAAAGAGTTGGTTGAGGACGTCTGGAGTTTTTCATCATCTGAAAATATAGCGATGTCTTCGAGAGTCCGGTGCCATGTCCTGCACTGTGACAATATCCGAAAGAGCTCCTCAGCCTCTGCCCAAGGTAAAACACTGACAGACACCTCCAAATCTTTTAGCGCGGGGAATTCTAAGTGTTTCATGACTGCAATGGGGTATGCAGCTGTCTTGACGCTGAATTCGAGGACCACGAGGTTGATGAAAGGTGCAAAATTGAGATTAATGTTGCTCCGAGCCAACTTGAACGGGGTGCAATTGTAGTCACCAATCCCCACTTTGAGAATGGTGGGGAGATGGGAGAGGTGGTTCCATATTGCCCAATCAAGCGGTGGACAAACCAGATGTTTGAGCTGCTTGCATGAGAAAATAGTTTCAGCCAGCCTAAGGAGACCCTGTTCATCTACTGTGCACTCGCCAGAGGCCTCGATGGATAAGTGGTCCAAAGCAGGACAATGGATCCCAATAGATTGCATATCTGTATGAAGGGCCGATACTTGGAAATGGCGTAGCGTAGGGGACAGGAAGAGTTGGAAATCTCTGTTATTCGGATGCGGGACATCCCAGGTCAATGACAATAATCTCGGGAACATGTATTTCTGAGTGGGAAGGACCTTGAGAAGGCGAAGATGTTGGTCGGATCTTATATGCATTGAGCGCACTCGGGCGGCATGACGCAAAAATTGACGGTTCTCGTCCTCCGATAATGGTTCGACGCCTTCAGATCGCAAACGCGGTATTTGAAACTTTGAATGCTTGCTGAGTTAATGAACGACAAAAAATGAGGAACGTGACTAGTCCGCACTAACCACTTCACGACCACGATATAACATCGGATGTATCCTCGTAACACAGCCTAGCAGTAGATCTATCCCGTTCACGTTAGCCCACAGCAAATTCATTGCGGGCTCGTAGAAGGTTTTACATGTCCTAGCAAGCGCTGCAAGGGATGGCCAGAATTCGAATCGGTCCTGTTGGAGTCCGAACGATCCGAACGATCAGAGACGGAGAAGACCGACCGATCCGAGATGGTTGAGGAGGGAGAGTGACAGGTGGTCCGAGCCCAAGCCAAAATGGACATTGTCGAGTGAGGCGTTGACGTCGGCTCGAGTCCTCCAATATTTCACTTATTCATTTGATATATTTTTCATTACTATATAGCTTACTATAAGAACAGCCACTGGTAGCACGAGCGCATCTCAGCCTTTTTTCAAAGAGACTGAGATTATACTTGTTCATTAGAACGTCCCCAAAGACCCGCGATATAATTACTCACCACAGGTTATGAGCCCTGACACGGCTATGGAATCTGCACTGCCCAGTACCAATTCAACGTTGTTCAGCGTCCCGAAGCTAGCCGAAGATGGTAGCAACTGGATCACCTACAAGGAACGAATGCTGACCGCCATTGGTGCGAGAGGATTGATGCATTATGTTGATGGCCGAGCAGCGAAGCCTGCCCCGTTCAAAATC